TTCTTCTTCTTATTGTGTGTTGCTTGTTTACCGTAGGTCGTCCTTGTTTGTTTGCGGTTTTTTTTTTTTCATGGCTGGGTCGGGTTTTTCGTTAGGGGGGGACAAAAGACTTGGGAAGTAAAATGAGTTTATGTGGCTTGCCGGCTGAGTGAGTTTTCCGAGTTAAAGGCAAAACGCAAACGCAAGCATGATGAGGTGACAGATCAGGTTCGGCAAAAAGAGACAGATGAGGGAGGGGAGGGGCCTTGTATATTTTGACTTGCGATTATGCTTGGGAGGTTTTTTTTCCCTTCTCTCGTCTTGAGGCCGTTGAGATGAGATGCACATGGCTGGGGGTTTCCAAGGACTGGCTGGGCAGGATGGCTTGTGGAACATCGGTGAGGATGAAGATGAATAAGAGGTCAATTATGACGAATCCATCAAGAACGAGGACGAGCATGATTGGGACAGTGCGTGCCGTGCCATGGATGCACCTCGCCGGGGGTGCTTTTTTTGTGCGGTGCGTCTTAGTCGATATGTATGTCTCGAAATGCATCACACTAGTTGGCTCAAGGAGATTTGGTCTGGTGGACTAGCAGAGGCGAGATACGTGGACGGCTGTGAGAAGCCAGAAGGGTGAGGCAAGGGGAACAAGAGAAGCAGCAGAAAATGAATGTAATGTGATATGATGATGCGAGTAGCTACTAGTAGGTATAGTAGCTAAAGAACGGTGTTGATTCACACTCACATTCACATTCATGTTGGCCAAGGCAAGGCACCAAGGCAGCAAGATTAGACTCGGTAAAACACACGGTGAGATCAAATAAAATAAATAGCTGATAGAAGCCCACCCAATGATGACCTCGGATGGAGATTCTTGGTCGGTCCTTCTCGAGCTCTGATCTTGTCTCTTGGTAATTGCTAGACCTGCCCGGCAGTACATCCTTATATGTACCTCCTCCCTCCACCCCCCTTGGCCTTTTCCCTTTTCCCTTTAGCACGGACAGGCCAAACCTCAGCCTTTTTCTAATTCCTTTTTGCGAGACTCAATCTAGACCATCTGGCCATCTTTTTTTGTTGCGGCCAACCGTCTTGTTCCCCTTCTCCGTCCTTTGACCTTTTTCTTCCCCTTTTCTTCCCTTTTTCTTCTTCCCTTGACCTTGACTTTGGCCTCTAGACGTTCCAGTTTCTTCGTTTGAGTTGCGCCAGTTTCCCGCCCAGCCCGTTGTTCTGTTTTTAGACGCGGTGCGTAAGACTGTCTGTCTGTCTGTCAGCTTTCCGAACTCGATACGGCCACCCATCCCAGGCCATCAGGAAATAGCAGCAACAAGCAAGATTCAAAGCAGAGCATCCCTGCCCACGCCACGCTCCGACATCAACTTCATCATCGCCGTTTCAACGCGTGGCAACTCTCTGCCTCTTGGCGAATTGTCGCGGCAACTTTCCGGATCGGTTGCACAACTCGCTCTGATTCACATCTCGCCATCTTTTTTTTTTTTCGACTTCTTTGTCTGCCTGTTTCACACACACACAGACAGCCTTTCCTTCACCTTTTTTTTTTTTTTCGCAAACTATATTTTTTTTCACTTTACTTTTTGTCTTTGTCTTCTTCTTTTCTTTTACATAATCGTTTTCTCCTTTCCTTTATTTGTCTTTGCCCCGGCTGGAGCTCATCTGATTCCTTTGTTTGTTTTCTTTTCTTCTTCTTAAACGTTTACTTGTACGTGTGTCGGCTTGTGGATCGAATCTCGAGAGATTCCGACAGGCAATCACACCACCACGCACGCGCAAGATACCAGCCTATACAGCATCAGCTTCTCGTCTTCCAAATGAAACGAGCGCCTGCAGGCAAAAAGGGCGTGACCCTTCCAAAGCGAAGCCAGACGCAGTTGAATGCCCTTGATCGGCTGCCCGAGAACCCAACCCTCGAGGAGATCAAGGAGGCCACCGTCAACGTCTCGCTGGCCGAACTCGAGGAGAGAGTTGCAGACGTGCGCGACTCGTGGGAAACGGATTCGCTCTTTGAAGATGCGCTCGAGGATCTGACGGATGAGAGTGGAGTGTTCTCTGGTAGTAAGTTGCCACCCCGTCCATACCTTTGTTTTACTCGGCATCATGTTCTGCACCTATTGCCGTGTTCTGAGGTGTTTGTTGTTCTTGTCATCGGAAATGACGGTCATGAGTTGACTCATAATGCCTCATTTCGGCTTTGGGGTGTTGGCGAGACTCAAGTGTGTCCTTTATTTTTATTTTTATTTTTTATTTTTTTTTTGGTTATTGTGGTGGCTTCAATCTCTACACTACGCAAAAGCCGAAGCCAATGATGGGCGCGACTAGTTTTGGGATATAGCCGAAAATTGCCTCCTCTGGTTGCTGCCACGGTTTTGAAACTACACACGGCCTGATCCGTCGTGATGGAATCCCAAGTGCTGACTCTCCAACTCGCAGGACCAGACACTTGCACTCCAGAAGAGGCATGCAGGTTGCGTCGCGAACTGCGTGAACAGGGGCCTGCTGTCTTTTGTCAGCGCACCGTCGATGCTGGTCGATATAGCGCAAAGAAGCTTCTCAGCGCCTTTGGCATCCGGCCGCCTGGCTTTCTCGAGGGCGAGCCGGACGAGGCCTACTTCAGCCTCTTGTCGCTGGCCATCACGCGAGAGCTGTCCAAGCGGGCCAAGTTGCATCGCTACAACTCCCTCAACGATGCCGTGCAGCTCATCGACAAGTGCCAGAACATCATCGTCATCACCGGTGCCGGCATCTCCACCTCTCTGGGCATCCCGGACTTCCGATCCCAGGGCACCGGTCTGTATTCCAAGCTGGAGCACTTAGGCCTCAACGACCCACAAGAGGTGTTTGACATTGAGGTGTTCAAACAAGACCCGACCATCTTCTACTCGGTCGCCAAGGACATCATTCCGGCCACTGAGCGCTACACGCCCACCCACAAGTTCCTGGCCATGCTCCATGAGCGCGGCAAGCTGCTTACCAACTATTCGCAAAACATTGATAATCTCGAGGTCAAGGCGGGTCTGCCCAAGGAGAAGCTCATTCAGTGTCACGGCTCGTTTGGCACGGCCAGCTGCGTCCAGTGCCACTACCAGATCCAGGGCGAAAAGATCTTCCCAGACATTCGGGCCGGCAAGATCCCCAAGTGCACCCGATGCCTGTCGTCGCTCAAGACCTCTGGTGCTCCGAAGCGAAAGCGATCGGCAGGCGCAGAGAAGAAGAGGCGGCGCTGGGCTGACAATGACAGCTCCGAGGAGAATTCCGAGTACGACATCCCCGGTGCTGGCGTCATGAAGCCCGACATTACCTTCTTCGGCGAAGCTCTTCCCGACGAGTTCTCACGGCGCCTGACGGAAAACGACCGTGACAAGGTCGATCTGGTGATTGTCATTGGCACGTCGCTCAAGGTCACGCCCGTGTCCGAGATTGTCAGCTTTCTCCCGCCGCATATCCCGCAAATCTACGTTTCGCGCCAGGCCGTTTCCCACATCAACTTTGATATCGACCTGCTGGGCGATTGCGACGTCGTGGTTGCTGAGCTGTGCAAGCGGCTCAACTGGCCATTGGTTCACGAGATGGTGCCGGTCAACCAGGAGATTGATGTGCGCACAGAGGAAGGATACGCAAGCCGCCACGTCTTTACAACCAACAGGCCTGGCGTCGAAGTTGCCAACGAGATGGAGAATGGCAAGGACGCTAAGGATGTGAATGGCAAGGCTTCTCCAAATGGCAATGTTAAAAGTCGCAAGGCTTCTCCCAATGGCGATGTTAAGAATGCCAAGTCTGTTCAAAATGGCAAAGATGGGAAGCAAGCCAAGGGCACCAAGAGCGCCTAAACGGGTTCAGCTATGGAATCTTCAGTCAACACGATGCTGGTCTTGTTGTCGCATTTCTTTGTCTCCTCTTTCGTTTCTTTCTCTCTTTGGGCCGATTTCTTTTTCAGCCGATACATTTCCAGCCTTGTCCGCTTAAAAGACATTTGGCGTTCCGGATCCTCTGTTTGAATCCGTTTGCGTTTCCGCAACACGTTGAGCTCTTGTTCTTGTTTCCGTGTTTTTTTCTGTCAACTTCTCTTCCACCTCCTTGGTTCTACAATTGTTTTAATTCGTGAGCATGTCAAGCGAGCTTTGGCATCGGATTTTCTCGCCCGTGAGAATATTCTGTCGTTTTCACTAGGGATACATATACACGGGAATGGAAGGGGGGAGGCTTAGATGGGTGGCCTCGCTAATATGGAGGGCATGACGAGAAAGACCTCTCTAGACTTGTCATGTATTTTTTCACATAGAGATTCTGAGACTATGATGAGAATACAATGATGTGACTGGTGCTAATCGAATCCTTTATCTTCCCCTCTCGTGTCACTTTTTGCCTTTTTTTTTTTTTTTGTTGAGGCATGCTAGTGGGCTCTGGTGAACTTTGTTGTTAGCAGCCTTACTGGAATTAGATGGTGCGGTGCGTCTGAAGGATGGAGAGGGGCGTAAGCCGGAGGTGAAGAGGAATTGAACTTGGCGGTGGAGATAAGTATAGTCGGGGTTTGATGATTAGTAGTCTTTTGGTGCCGGAGCGACGAGTAATTCATTCCAAATTATTCATTTTCGTATTGAAGCCGGGACGGGGAAACCTTGGCCTCGACACTTGGAACTCTATGGTCGATCTGTAAATACCAATCATTCAATCACTTATATATAAATCGTAAATCTTTAATTTTCACCCTTTTTGGAGCATTTTTCGTTCTTTGATGGTATCTATTTGTTTTTTTGCAACTTGCTCTGTTTCCATACATGGTGGGTAGATATCAACGTTCTTTGTAGACATGTCCGTCCCGTCTATATGCATTCTCGCAGCAGGATACTGCCCGTTTTTTTCGTGATGCTTTCGGCCTTGCACGTGCAGATGATTTATTTACCTGACAGGCAAGGTTTCCCACCATTCTTGTATACATTACACCCCCTTCTCTTCATTCCGAGCGTGCGGATTGTTGGGTCGCAAGGGAAAATAACGAGTCTACGCTAAATCAGACTTTCATACTTGTCCAGACCCGACTTTTGCTGTTGCTGTTGCTGCTGCTGGGTTTGTTGAGGTATGCTACTTGAGAAAGAACTTCCGCTTCCCATGGAGCTGTTGTTCATCCCACCAAAGCCCATTGGTTTCTGCTGTTGAGATGGACTGCTCGAAGCCCATACGTTTTGCGATCCCGTTGGCGGTGGCGCGAGACTGAATCCTGACAGTCCTGAAGTAGAGGGAGTTGCCATCGAGTTACCGGCTGGTGGTGGTGCGAGGGAAAACGATGAGCCGCGAGAGTCGCCCAGCGTGGGTCTTTGGGCGTTGAGCGAGTTGAGAGACATGTTGGACATGGAACTGGTCATGCCTTGGCCGAACGCGGAGCCGGAGCTGGAAGTTGACATTGTAGAAGAGTAGTTTGATGCCAATGGCGGCGGTGTGAAGCTCTTGGCTGTGGTTGAAGCGGTGGACGACCAGCCGAAGCTTGGTGCAGACTGCTGCGCCGGCGTTTGCGGGAAGCCAGATTGCGCCGGCTGCAGGGGCTGGCTGAACTGTGTCGAGCTGGGCGTCATGACTTCGAAGCGGTTGAGGTCAGGGGTGACGGTGCGGAAAGCAGGCTGCTGGGTTTGGAGCGTGCTCGGTTGCTTCACGGGAGGGCTCACGGGGGGCTGAGTTGACCAGGAGAAGGACGGGGTCTGGGGAGTTGCCGTTGATGAACGACTGACGCTGGCGGCGGCCACGTGCGGCGAATCCTCCCAGCTTGGGGTCCTCGCGGCGCTGGAGCTGCCTCCGGGCCTTCCCTTGACCAGCGCTTCAAAGTCGTCCTCGTTGCCGTTTGTAGCATCGAACGCGGTTCCAGTCACTCCGCCAAACGCCATAAAGTCTTCGTTGATGGCGGCTGTAGATCCGTTGATGGAGCCGGAGAGCTCCTGCAGCTTTTTCGTCTGCTCGTCCTCGACTTTGCGTGACAGCGTCTTGATGAGGTCCATGAAAGACTGGAACTGCTTGAGGTTGAGAAGCGGGCCTAAGCTCATGCTCCATAGGATTGGCAGGATATCCATGGCCACGAAATCGGCGTCGGCTGTCTGCCCGACCACGTACATCAAGTCTCGCGCGGCCATCATGACGGCGGGCTCCTTCGTCTTGATGCCCTTGACTAGAGGTACAATCTTTTCTTGCATAGTGTATTTATCCAGGGCGCTGGATGATGACGTCTTCTTGGTTCCTTCCAAACCGCTGAGGCCTCCATCGTCGGCGCTGGATTCGTTGGAGCCGCCGCAGAGGACGACGAAAGCCTGGAGACCGCGGACTTTGATGGCAAGACTGTTTGTTCGACTAAATACCGCGGCAACAACGGGGAACAGCTCGTTCTTGATTGTGCTAAAGTCAAGGACAGGCAGCACGACGGAAAAGCTTCTCAGAGCCACATCAACGATTGCAGGAGTGGGACACTCAATGGCTGCTATAATAACGGGTAGTACGTCTGGGGCATTGGTGTTAGCCTTGAAAATAATCGAATCATGTTTAGGAGAAACGAGAATGCTCACCGTCTTTAAACTCCCCGCCGTTAGTGTTGTCTGCTATTACTGCTATGTTCTCCAAGAAGACCATCAGGCCAGCGTCTCGGGCAGGATCTTTCTCTTGGCTCTGTTTTGCGTTTTCCACAAAGACAGCCTTCAGGGCGGGCCGAACCCTTTCACTGAACGCTCTCCGCGCTGCCGGCAGCAAGGTGAGTATCTTGAAGACGTTCTGCAGGATAGGAGAAAGAAGGTCCTTATCCTTCATCTCATCCAACAGCGCCGGCAAAAGCTTCTTTTCTAGAACCGACTTGGGGAAAGAGGGCAAGACTTTGTTGAGGCCTCGCAAGAATTGAGACTTTTCATTGGGCGTTTTGGCAGGGAAAGTGTCAAGAAACCGGATAGTTGAGACGAGGACGTTGTCAAAGTACTCGCTCTGCTGAAATTCTCGGGCTGTCATTCTCTGTGCAGGTCTCCTTGTGATGAGCTTTGGGAGCACATGATTTGACAAGTCCCTAGGCAGCGGCCTGGACGAGAGATAGTTGTTGGTCGTCGTGGGGACGGTGGAAGGCGAAGAAAACGTCCTTTTATACGAAGAGAGGCTTCCATGGCACTCTATCGGCGACTGGTGTGGTGAGTTGTATAGAGCCACACACAGCAGACCGAGTGAGAACATGTCGGCAGAAGGAGTCAGGTTGTTATCCATGACGAAATCTGGAGAGGTGTAGTCCAAGTTTAGCTGGACAAACTTGGGTAACCTGGGGTCCAAGTTGAGGACCTCATGCAGACTAATGCCATGGATCGAGGTAGGCTTGGTCGAGTTGTCCGCGGGACTACAAAAAGAGAGTCCACTAATCTTCCAGTCAGACTATTACATGGTTAGTTGCCGAAGCCTGCGGACGATGACGTTGATATAGAAGATTTGGACATGCCTTGGCATTGATGAGGACTGCATCGGGAGTCAGGTTGCCGTGGACAAGCCCTGCATTGTCATGTAGAAACTCCAATGCCTTGCTGATTTGTAATAAGCCCTTTTGGATTTCCAGCTCGTCGATTTCGATTTCTCTCCTTCTGCGAACGCCGTCGGCATCTTCTGTAACGTATCGGCTGGATCGTCCGCCAGGGCCAGAGCGTTCTTGCTCGTCTTTTTCTTGAAGCAAGCCTGACAGCGACGCGGTGACGGCTTCTGTGACAAATTGTAAACCACCGCCTCTTGTGTCCTCCACCGGCTCGACAAGTTCGAGGACGCTCGGATGCCGCAGCTTGGCCAAACTGGACGCTTCCTTTTTCAAGCGCTCAACCACCTCCTCGACGCTGCGTTTATAGGATGCGGCATTGCCCTTGCCCACAGAACTGCCGTGTGCGTCTAGGGCCTTTTTGTCAAAGACGAAGGCGCTGTAACTCTTGCCGGTGGACTTCTTTTTCGCATCGTAAATCTTCCATGGCCCGGCCGTTGAGGTTGGATTCGGGGATATCGTATAGTTGGAGGAGATGTTGGTGCTGCCAAAGGACTTGAGCGCGGAGGAGAACATGATGGGTCGTGTGAAAGAGAGTCTTGGTAATTAAGAGATCATATCATCTCATTGCGAGCGAGCAAACAGACGGAACAAAGAGACACGATCTTGAATGCGCCAAAACGGCCTGATGGCACGGGTGAAATGCGCCAGCGCACTTGGAGTGGTACAGCGGGATTTCGAGGCTGAGGACTTTGCAGCAGGAGAGTTTGTCGCTAAATCAGAGGGCGAGGCTGAGCGATGACACGCGTTTTGGAGATTGTCCGAATTGCATGGACAGGTTGATGTTGATGCTATTCGAAGCTGTCTGCTATTGGCCACGCCACTGATAACATGATGCTATCAAGCAGCTTGGCGGCACTGCGCCACGACCGCAAGCCACAGGTGCTCTTAGAAGGCGTCTGACTAAGAAGATTGATGTTAGTAACTCGTGCACACAGAGAGACAAACCTGCCAAGTCATCGCCAGCAGGTAATCCAGTCCCTGAAGCATGTAATTTTGGGTACCTCGGCCAGAAAGCGGGAGTTGGCTTATGTGCAATCCCTATGATTCACCTAAATCCAATTAGCCAGACTCATATAGGTATCACCAACAACACAGATGAGCACAGTCAAACCATTACGGTCTACGCTTCTCCTATATCGGTGACTCCTCGACATTGTCATTGCGTCCTCCCTGCCCAGGCCAGCAAGTGACAATGCATCGAGTATATTAACACCAGCGGCCTGCTGCGGGCTTGCGCGGGTACCCTCGGGCTGTTGAATCCTCTCCGGGCAATTTCTAATTGCAGTCCGGTGTAATTCATGTAGTTCAGCAGCATGCCTGGCCGCTGACTTGCAGGTACCGCAGGCCAGGGTACCCACGATGCACTCTGTCAGGCACGACTACTCCGTACCTTAGTACCTGGTAGTAGTAAGCCCGAAGTCCGGTACCGCTCCGGGCTGTTAGCTTCCTGTCCGCCTTATCCTTATCCACTCGCTCCGTCTTCGCCATCTTCCTCTTCCTTCTGACAATTCCACATATATATATATATATATATATTTGTCCAGAAGCCCAATTGGCGAGGCTGCTTAGGCAAAAGGAGTTCAGTCGCGTTTGTTCGAGCGAGAGATTGGCAGTGTTAATACTCTTTTGGATTATCTGCTGCCACTATATACACAACTGGAATCCCGCTGGGCCTCTAGAGAAAAACCACGACAGCCTTACTCATAATCGCAATGCGTTCAGCCTTCCCCAGAACGGCGCTCTTGAGCGCAACCCGGGCTTCGCGATTCCTCCCCGCGCATCGCCCTGCCCGCTTCTACAGCATCAAGGCCGAGGCCGCTTCTCAATCAAAACAGCGCCCTCTGGATGCTTCAAGACTTTCCGTGCAGGAGACCACGACGCCCAAGCGCTTGAGCAAGCCCGAGGACCTCGTCTTTGGCAGGTCGTTTACCGGTGAGTTTCTGTGTTGTATGCGTATGGAAAGTATAGCGTGGCTGACAAAAAACATTGCAGACCACATGCTTGCCATTGAGTGGACAAAGGACGATGGATGGCTCGAGCCTCGCATCACTCCCTACCAGAACCTGTCTCTCGATCCGGCCACCTGCGTTTTCCACTATGCCTTTGAGTGCTTCGAGGGCATGAAGGCTTACAAGGACAAGAATGGCGACATTCGGATCTTCCGCCCCGACAAGAACATGGCCCGTCTTAACAAGTCGGCTGCTCGAATTGCCCTGCCCACCTTTGAGCCCACCGTCCTCCTTGAGCTCATCTCCAAGCTCGCCAAGCTCGACTCTCGCTTCATCCCTGACCAGCGAGGCTACTCCCTCTACCTGCGACCTACCTTGATTGGCACCCAGCGCACTCTCGGTGTTGGCGCCCCCGGCTCTGCCCTGCTCTACGTGATTGCCTCTCCTGTTGGCCCTTACTACCCCACCGGCTTCAAGGCCGTCTCTCTCGAGGCCACCAACTACGCCGTCCGCGCTTGGCCCGGTGGTGTTGGTGACAAGAAGCTTGGTGCCAACTATGCTCCTTGCATTGTTCCCCAGCAGGAGGCTGCCAGCCGTGGCTTCCAGCAGAACCTGTGGCTCTTTGGCGAGGAGGAGTTCGTCACTGAGGTCGGCACCATGAACATGTTCGCCGCTATCAAGGACAAGGTTACCGGCCAGAAGGAGCTCGTCACTGCTCCTCTCGACGGCACCATCCTCGAGGGCGTTACCCGAGACTCTGTCCTCGCGCTGGCCCGTGAGCGTCTTGCTCCCGAGGGCTGGAAGATTAGCGAGCGCAAGTTTACCATGGCAGAGCTGGCTCAGGCCTCCAAGGAGGGCCGCTTGCTCGAGGCCTTTGGGTCCGGAACCGCCGCCATTGTCAGCCCCATCAGGAAGATTTCGTGGAAGGGCGAGCTCATCGACTGCGGCCTGAAGGAGACTGAAGAATCTGGCGAGATTGCGCTCAAGGTCAAGGAGTGGATGGAGGCCATCCAGTACGGCGACATTGAGCACGAGTGGAGCTTCAAGGTGTAAGGGGTAGAAGACGAAGACGAAGGACGAAGACGAAGAGGGAAAAGAAGAAGAGAATAGACACTGGGAAACCACTTGGTTAGCGTATTATAAGTTTGCCGTCACATATTGAGCATTGGCAGTGCAATCATGAATCATTTTTGTCCAACAACCCAGTCTAATATTCGTGCCGTTTTGAGGGACCATGTCTTTGTAACGATAGAAAACCAGGAAAATAAAATGCCGTAAACATGTACATGTTGGCAACTTCCAACAATGCTCCCACCTCCACTCCTATCCCGAGTCTGATATACCATTTCCCCCTCCTCCCCCCTCTATGTGAACAAGACCCGACTTGTCAAACCCCCTCCAACGTCGTCAAACCAGCCACACTCTTAGTTCTTCTTCTCCTGATTTGAGGGGTCCGGCAGAACACCCTCGGCTTCTAATCTCCTTCGTGCCTCCTCAAGAGCCCAGGTAGAGACGCTATAAATCCTCAAGTCAGTGCATGTTTGACAATCAAAATAGCGCAGCAACGAGGCCAACAACATCTTCCACTTCCACGGTCCCAACGTCACACCCTGGAGAACCTCCACAAAGAGATGGACAAGAAAAGCCCCGCGGAAGCAAATACATCGTTGGATTCGCCCCTGGACGCTGGCGGCAACACTCACGAGGTATCGGGCTTGAAAGCCAGAGCAACACCCGCAACCAACAAGCTGGCGCCAAACAGGTACATGGGCCACTCCCAGCCCTCGGGCTCGGGCTTCTCGCCGGGCTTGACGCCCCAGAGCCAGCCTGAGGGGGGCTCGAACTGTGACTCGTTGCCGTGGCCGCCTTGTCGTCGGGACGTCATGGAGAGGCTTCGCGCAGTAACGAGCGGCTTGCGGACGCATCGCACGGCGCGCAGCGGGGCGACGGTGTGTCGGAGGAGGGCCATTTGGGGGGATTGCTGGAGAGGCGCTCCTTTCAGTCTTGTGCGGGTTGCTGTGGTGTAGTTTGTGGCCGCAATGGCTGGGAGTTTTGTTTGGAGGATATGGCCTGGTTGTTCAAAGTGCGGCGGCGATTGGACCAAGTTGGTTGGAGTCTCCGGAGAGCGGATTGCAGCAAGTCACATGACGGGGAACGTGACCGCCTGGACGGGGTCCCCACATGGTACACGGCGATCCCTTCGTCCATGGAGGTTGAAGGCGCGTCTTCCCTTCGCCCTCGTGATGGCATGATAGGGGGAAAGGAAGAAAAAAGGAAGAAAATATGGTGATAGGTTAATGGTTAGTTTATGGATATTTTTATTTCTTGTTTTTTTTCTTTTGCCCATTGGAGTTCAAGCCATGTTGTTTGAGGACTTTGCTAGCCACAATGTGTTATGAGTGGTCTATGACACTTACACTGCATCTCGGCAATTCAGTTGTGTCATAGCCTAGCACGTTGTCTAGATAAATTTCAGAAAAGCTCGGCTATCGGTACATGCTGCCATTGACAGTCCAGCTGGCTCTTCGAAGCGATATTGACGGGATACGATTCCGCTCGGTTCAGTCCATGTCCAATTACACGCCAAAAACAGCGACATCTCACCTCACCTCATGTGCTTACCGCAGGCTGTCAATGTACATTCCAGCAGTCTCCTTACATCGTATCACGTACATTTCTAATCAATATTAGTCAAGCTCATCATTGTGTAATTTATTCTTACTGTTTTACTTATCATGTCAAGTTGAATCTCATACATCCGCACACTAGCGGATATCGACAACTGCCCCGCGAACCGAGCAGGCAGGCAAGAGGACAGAAAAGCTAAGACTGAGAAAGATTTCAAACACCTACGCGGTAAATCATATGCCTAATTTTTAAGTATCTGCTAAGATATCTCTCTACCTATATCTTCGCTAACATTTATTCCTATATCTACATTTCTCTAGTAACCCCTACTATATTTATATCTCTTTAGCAACGGTTATCAAGGTTATGTAGTAAAAGTTGGGTGCTGGTTAAATATTACGTATTTCCATGTCCCTATAAAACATCACTTAATAAGCTGTTTGGGTGCTTATATTACTGAATACATGTACTCATTTACTTTGTGGTCTCGCTTTCCCTGCTCTCCGCTTTGCAAGGACCCTTATCATGACAATACCTACTGTACCTGTGCCTCTTCACTACAAATTACTCTAAAGAATCATTTAGAAAGAAAAACATGAGTTCGGTCAATTCAAACGGCGCTACAGTACTATCACATGGTCCGGGATGATTCAATGCCCAAGCATTCATCTTACCGTTTTTGCGTGTCTAACATGTACTTTACCTTCTGCTGTCTTAACGCCATGCAGGATCCATCACACAGATAGAGCCCTTACACAAATACTAATATCCAGCGCCGGCGGCCAGCAATAGCTCAATAATGGTATCAACAAGCTTGGGTTGGCTCTCCAGAAACTTTGACTTGGCTGCCATTCTAGCGGCAGTGATACCTTGGTCGTCCATTGACGAAACATCAACGCCATGAGCCAATAGTGCTTTGATGACACCGACAGCGCCGCGCTCGGCTGCCCAGTAAAGCGGCGTCAGTGCGGGTTGTATGAACATGTTGTGAAGTCGCGGATCTGCCATGACGCCCCTCGCACGGTAGCCCCAGGGGAAGCCGAGAATGGGCGCGATAGTCCTGCTGCTTGGGTTCAACAGACGAGCACGAGCTTCTGGGTCGATACCGCAAGATAGTAACTGCTTAGTAAAATCCGCCATCTTACCGTTGACGTCGTTATCTTGATGAAGAGAGAGGACATGTAACGGCGTTAAGCCTTCTTCTGTGACGGTACTAGCATCGGCGCCGTGAGAGAGAAGAAACTGAGCTGCTTTTATCGCTTCGACAGGCGACTTGAACCGATAATATCGATGTTGGATGGGAATGAGAGCGCACATCAAGGGTGTCCAGCCGTTGGAATTGATTGCGTTAACATCCAAACCTTGAGCAATCAGAAATTCCATCACCTCAATATGACACCCGGCGGCAGCAAAATGCAGCATCGTCTCTCCGTGATGGTTTGTTAACCGAAGCAGAGACTCTTGGCTTTGGTCTGGACAAGACGACAGGTATAGACTGAAGAGACGCAAGTCTAGTCCATAGGCAGCCCGGTGTAAGGGACACTCACCTGCATTGTCTGGCTGAGATACGGAACCTTTGTGTTGTAACACGAGGCGAATCGCAGTCTCATTCATCGTTATAGGCAGCGGCCGGCCTAGTATATGGATCGGACCGGCTAATGCAACCGGCTCAGCAAGAACATGCAGAGCAGACTTACCAGACCCGTCGGTTGTGTTGGGGTCTGCGCCTTTCTCAAGCAGAGACTTGAGCACTCCGCTAAGGTTTCCGTCAGAAGCGACAGTGTATATAAGCGGTGTGTTGTTTGGACGCCCATTCGGATCTGCCCCGGCATCAATCAGCAACTCAACCGTGAGCTGCTGGTTCAGGAAGTCAATGGCCTCGCGATTTCCATTGTCATCGTCAGACAACAACGCTCTGCGATTTGTAGCCAGCCGCAGTGCTTCTTGCAGAGTGGACTGCTCAAATGATGCCCTGCGCAAGAGCAAAGTAGCTACCGCAAGGCGCCATCGCATTGCAGCGCCAAGCAGCGCGTTATACTTCAACTCGTGTGGCCAACCATCCCACCAGTCTAGCAAATCTTCCACAATGGCAGCATGTCCGTGACTTGCCGCCATAATGAAGCACGACGGATGATGCCTGCCCCCGCTCGCATGGACTTCCGGAGGGCAAACCCCCCAGAGGCGCTTGACGATGTCTCGGTGACCCTTTTCAGCAGCGTATGCGATGGCTGTGAGCTCCTCCTCGCCTCCTTCGCTCACAAGCAGAGGGTCTGCGCCGGCTGCTAGAAGCATTTCGACGGCCTCCAAATTGCCACACCAAGAAGCAAAATGGACTGGCGGACCGAATCCATAAGAATTATAGTGGATGTCTGGAGTAGGCGAAGCGCCCAGTAGCTGCTGAAGCCGTTGAAGATTGCCGTCGCGGATGCACGCATGCAGCACCTCATCTTCTGAAGTGAAGTGGTTACGAAGCCAGCGCATGTTAAATGATGTCAACATATTGCTCACCTTGAGGATGGGAAGAGTGGATGGAGAGGATGATCGCGAAGGGAATGAAGAGATCAATTTAAGGACTGGCGGCTGCCTACATCACGTGGTTTATGCCAAGGAACAAGGTCTTGTCAACGTTTAATTCGAAGCATCAACAACATTGAGTTTCATTGCATTTCTTCGTTTGGATCATAGCTTCTCTTTAAAGCCTGGCAAGACTACTATCGTGTCGTCGAGTGTGTCGGTACAGATTCGAACCCTTTGAGGTTACAAGTTGTGTGTATTCCGCCGAAATGGGCCAGCTCTCCAACACTTTTTGCTGCTCGATGAATTGTTGGTGAATTTAACACTAGGTTACTAGTTAGCCCTGATCATAAAGAACTCGACAATCGGCGTATAAAAATATCATCAACTCACATGTCCTCCAGGCGAAGCCATCCAGCCGATACACTGCGGGGGGTCCAGACGGTAGTCGATCTCAGTGCAGGGGCAGCCTCCAACTTCCAAACACTCGCAGTTGCATGGGAAAGGCACAGTTTGTTCATAACAAGTCTCGCAAGATCCGGTTTTCAGACAGCAGCCTTGGGGCTGGGACGGGCACTGTCTCTTGTAAAGAGGCGACTTGGGGACGGCAACGGCCAGGCCGACCATCGTTGCGAGAACCACGGCGAAACGCATTGTCGTTGACTACCAAAGAATCGAAACAAATCAAATGAATCAGTAGCCCCAATAATAATGTCTCTTGTAAGTTGCTTGAAGGCTCTTATAATATACTAAAAATCGAGAGGTTGGGCCATGCGTATTTAGAGGCATCATGTCCAACTGATGCTGACCCATCGGGCTCGTCGGGGGGTGCGACATCCGACAAAACAATTGCCATTTTCATATTATCCAGCTTGATTAAACTTATGACGTGTAACGTTGCGTCAGGACGTATATGCAGAATCCTGCCGACGACAATCCGTGTAAAGCCAGCGGTTGCCTGTTGCGTTTGCGAGATGTATGGATGGAATGGTAATAGGGTCGCACTGGCAATGACCCGTTGCCATTTGCATAACAAGCTACTAAGCATGGCTTGATGACTTCTGCAAGTTCTCGCAAAGATATAAACTAGTGCAAGATGAATGAAACATCAGAGCTTGGCAAGCATGACGGATCGCCGTCTGTTCGGCGTAGAGTGGGTTGAATGATGAGCGCCGTGTCAGGTCGTTTAACAAGAGTGTTACTCGGCTAGCGGTATATCTTCATACTAACTAATTAAAAACTTATTAATCCTAAAATGGGAGGTGCAAATGGGCTTGTAGGACTCTACGGTGTAAAAATGCTCGATTCAAGAATCACATTTAAGCTCAAAACAAGGCTCGACACAAGACACTTGTTGAGCTTCTTAGCCACATGATTGCAAGTGACATGTGATTGTATAGCCACCTTTCCTTTACCCATTACATGAAAAGTAGTATCATAAATGGTTGACGAGATATGCTTGGACATACACAAAGTATGATACAAGCTGAGAGGAGAATAGACGCGTTTACTCTTTTCCGGAATCTTAAATCTATTGCTTAATGAGAATAATCCAGAAGCTATGATGCCATATCGGAAAGCAGAACCCAAGAAAGAGACTATTAGGTTAGAGAAACAGTGGTAGAAGAGGGATCTTGGCGCAGATTGAGCGGGCGGCGACTGCACACACAAAAGTCCGACGAGGTCGGCATTCAACCGATCGTTGTTTAGCCTGTCATTGCTTGGCTAGACTGCATATCATTTGCGGGTATTAAGCATTTTAGCATACGATTCTAGCCAGTTCTCGACAGATAAGCGAAGGGGGGGTGGGTTAGAACTGTGATCTATGGTTCAATGTGAACTGACCTGCTTTGCCGTATCGTGGAGAAGATAGTGTTGGACACGAATTGTGGATTCCAGACTGTCGATTCACAGGCGATGAATGTTTTATTCAGTGAAAAGTTTACCGTATAGAAGGAAGGGGACAGTCACGAATAGTACATGAATGCTATGGAAGAATACTAACGGTGATTCGGTGACTCGGTGATTCGGTGATACAGCCTTTAGCACCTGCTGCAAGGGGAACAAAAGCCTCCTGTCAAACCATTGACTTTACGGAGAAGAACTCGATTAAAGAAACGCCGGCTTACTCGCAGCCGGACATTCAACTATGGTCTATATTGTATTCTGTACATAAATATGTTGACAGGGAAAGAAAAGCAACGGCAGATATTCCAGCATGTCATCCCCATCTATAAGTTCTTTACATCCGATTGTATATACTTGAACCCAGATTTTATAGGAAATGAACTCCAGTCTTCCGGCTCCACGCGCGGCGTGTCTGACACTTTGTGGCCCCGAAACCAGACGTTTTTACCAATCCACGATAGTAAATAGACTCGACCAGAGAATTCCACACAGTCATCGCTGCGGAAATCTAGGTGGCCAGCTTCAGGGGCAGGATTGATGTCGCCCACGGCAGTCAAGCGGCTACGAAGCCGGAAGTACACACGGCGTTGTAGGAATTCAGGGACGGGCTCTGCCGCGCGTCTCATTTCCTTGGCTTGCCGTTTGGCGGCCAGTTCAGCCAATTCAGCTTCAGTCGCTTTGCGCTTCCTTCGATTGGCGGAGATTTGAAAACGACGAATTTCCTCTTCCGGATCAATTTCGTCCACATCTTCATCACTGAAACGGGCTTCAAGGTCTTGGTCGGATTCGAAGGGATCGTCTTTGAGCAGGTCCTCAGTCATGCCGAGGATCATAGTTCCCTCCAGTATGCCAAAGTCAAAGGCCGCGCACAGAGTAGTTTCATCTCGGCTCCATATATCCATCGTGAGAGTGTGTCCCTTTAGAATACTCAGATATTCTTCTGTGGTCTCCTTGCAATGGATAACGTAAGATCCCTTGCATCGATCAAGACTGAACCCCTCGGGATGTTTCTTTGGCCCTTTGCTGGGCTCTCCGACCCGCGCTTGAGCGACATATTCCCGGTGTCTTTCCAGCTGCTGTTCCCACAATGCCTTTTGCTGGGCTTTGTTTGCCTTTTCTTCATCTTTTGATGTTCTCATTCCCAAATCGACAACCTCATCTATATCCCATCCGATGTAGACATTGCTGGCAAACCGGTCAGGACCGTTCCAGGTATACAGGCCGGGGACAGTTTTTTTGGCCATTTTCTCAAATTTCCGTACGTTCTGCACATTGTGCAGAGCCAGTGCTTTTCTAACTTTGGTCGCATCCGGCCTCCCGTCCGTCAAAAAGTACATGGCAAGGAATCGTTCGGGATCCAAGGCCGCCCTTTCACTGGGTGTCCTGGAGAGCTTGAAAGCTTCATTGTCCCTTCGCTTCTTCTCTGCACGCCATGCTGCATGAGCGGCCTCCCACTTCTTCTGCACAGGCTCATAGTCAACTCGCATTGAAGCTTCCAGTTCCTTTACCGACTGGGGAACACGGCTGCACTATCATTACTCGCGAGTTAGGAAGGGTGGCATGATGGGGAATGAGGAGTCAAGTGGATAAATTGTGCGATGTGTATAGAATTAGGAGGGGGAAGGTTACTTTGCCCTGACGAATTGCATCTTGAAGCAGAAACTGCAGGTGCGGCTTGTTGAATGACGACTTGAAAGGGATTCCATAGAATCTTAACTGAGCAGCGAAAAATGCCTTTTTGAACAGCTTCTGGGCTTCCTTCTCCGTATCTCTTTGATCGCGCGGATGTCTGAGAGTCGAGGGATTGAATAGCTCATATAAACGCGAGCCACGAACACGCTCGATGTTGTCAACGCTGAACACTCTGTTGCGCAACTGGAAACCATTACGCTTGGCAATTGGTGGTTGGGGTTCTAGTAGTAGTATAGGTATTTCCGACATGATTGATAACAGCTGAATAGAGGAAGTATTAGGCCGATGTTATTGTAGGATTAAAACATTTTACAGATATGAAGTCTACAGGCATTGATTCGAAAACGCGACAAGAAAATTGTAAAGCCGCGGTTCAACTCCCCGCTAACGCGGTCAAGGTGTATTAGTGAGGTGCATTAGTGAGATGCATCAGCGAACGATGTCATCACGTTCAAGGCCCAGCTTCACCGAGTTGGAAATTGAACTGGATTGGACCATCGCCGGTGGAAGTTGAGCAAGATCAGTAAATGGATCAATGCGGATTCTAGGCTTGTGTCTCTAAATACATTGATTTGTTTATTTCCTCTAGTCGAAAATGAACTCTTTGTTTGACTTCTTTCAAGTACCCCAAGTACATCGTGGCTCTATTCAAGCACCAAAGAACCCCAGCTCAGACTTCTTGATATAACTATATGCACTCGTCATTCGATCCATCGCCCTGCGTGAAGTGATGAAGTCAGCCAGAGATTAACAGTACCTCGGCAGACAAGTCTCCCGTGACCATGTATGTAATCCATGCTTGCCAGTGAGTTGCATCATTTCAGGCTTCGTAAGGCGTATGGGCATGAGCCTTATGCAGCTTCTCGGAGCCTCAACCTCAACCAGCTTGTGTCGATCGCGATTGACAAACTCAGGCACCTTGACTTTTTTTTGGTCATCCTGTCCTCGGGAGCTCTCTCATGCTTTGGATCGCTGTCACATGGTATTTCCTCGATTTCCGTCTCCAGTGCTTCCTTTCTCTGACGTTCAATGTCTACCAGAAACTCCCTTCTACTGTTCAATCTTCCAGACTCCGTCTTCTTTGAGCGCATCTCCCAGTCCTTTAGCTTGTCATTGCTCAAGGATGAAATAGCCGATGGCACAGACGAGGATGATTCCAATTGGACTCCTGCTGTGATTGCCAAATACAAAGCCTGCGTCGTCTTAGTTGGCGTCGTATGTCCGAATACCACCAAACGGCCATTGCATTCCACCCTTCATGTTGCGAAACCCTAAAAACATCTGCTTAAACTTCTTCGTCGAGGCGTCATACTGCGTCGAGAATCGTGCTGAAAACCATTCCGTTCCTTTGTCACCCCATTCTACTTGATACTCCGAATTTTTTCTACCATTGAAAGCGACCGTCGTGTGCACCGTCACCGTAGGCTTAAATTCCTTCTTTGAACCGCCATCTACCCACGAGATACAATAATCCTCCACGACAAGCTGTGTAATCTCTGTGACTGAAGGCCAGGGGGGAGAGGTGATCAGATAGGCGCCTGTAAAGAAACCCAAACCGACCGTGGGTTTGGTTTCAATATCCTTATCGATGGGGACGATTGGAATCTGGTGAGGATCTTGTAAAAGCTCCACAAGCTTCTGCATCGAAAGAAGCTCATAACCGTGCTTCTTAAGGACCCGTTTGAGCTCGGTGTCTTTCTGATCATTATGGAACGATATCATGGCCTTCGTACAGTCAACGCGAAGGGGTGAGTTCCTTTGTTGCAGCTCTCTCACAAATCTGCGAACCTCCAGGTCTTCGATAGAAACTGTCTCAGACATTATGGGTAACTCAGAGCAAGATGTCAAGAGTAATGTATGCGATAACGTTAAGCGCAAATGAGGTATCAGTGTTCCGACACGTGGTTTCTGAGATTTTAGCTTTGAGAGATCTGTGAACCAGGCAGTATTTAATGCTCTTATAATGAAACAACATTCTGCATCCTCTGAAGGAGCATCGACTCCGTTGAAACTATAACCTGAGCGGCCTCCGCTGGCCTAGAACACTTCCATCCCAAAGCTGAGAATATGCAGCACTGCAATAGACTGCCAATAGCCTCAAATCCACTGCTCCACAGTGCTGTATATCCTCCAGAGTCAAGCTCTTTTCAGCTGGGACCCCTGCCCAGCTGAACGCACTTTGAAGCGAGAGGATTTCGCTAGCTCACCCTACTCGCTCTACTTTGCTAATTCGCAAGCTCGTTTGCTGTTGATTAACAACTACGCAAACAGCCCTGTCTTCAACATTTAGAGACTGTTGTAGAAGTCGTGCTATTGTACCATGTCGGCGGCTAGTCTGTGTCAGGGTTCCGCAGCGGCAGTGAGAAAAGCTAAGAGATAATACGTGTAAACACCGAGAAGGAAGCGGAACAATTCGTCATTCATAACTTGCGCGTAGCATCTCCAATGAATAGAAGTATGTGTAGATACATCAGTTTATTTATCGAATGGCCCTGTCTATCTAGTATGTATAGCCATTCCATAACAAGGATTGCATCAATCCATTAGTAAACCTGGTTGCCATCCTTGTCATAAACAATCTCCTTGCCAGGCTTAGGCGGAGTAACAATTCCGAGCTGTTGCAAAACAGTGATTCCTCCCTCCTCAGCAATCTCGCGAACAATCTTTCCATTCTTGAGAGTGAAAATATTCATGCCAGAGAAGTGAATCTTCTTGCCAGTGTTGGGCGTCTTGAGCTCACCCACGGTAAAGTCGTCAAAGGCACGGCCAGTGTGAGTGCCGCCGCCCACCCATTGGGCTGCTACATAGTCGCCCTCGGCGATCAATGGGGTCTGGTAAGCTCGGAAGGTCAAGTCGGGGAATGCCTTACAATAGCTGTTAGTCTCTTATGAGTCCACCGTATCATTGTTTGACGGTGATTATTAAATACCTCCATAAACTCCCTCAACATCGTTTTTGCTCCCTCCTTGCCATGGCGAGGTCCGTGGTTGGGATAGCTTTGGAGAAAGTCGTCGGAGCAGAGCTCGTCGACAACGTTTACATTTCCCTTGACCCAGTATTCCTCGAAATACTTGGAGACCACAGCCTTGTTGCGTTCCTCGAGAGAAGTCATTTTGGAGTGTAGTGTGAAGCTGGTTTTCCGGATAATGAAGTGTCAATCGATGAGACGCCGGTTGGTTGTGTTTTATTGGTGATTATGTATGATGATGATGCTATGAGATGATGTTGATGAGATTCTGGCGATGAGATGCTGAATAAAACGCTGGATCAACGCCATATTTTATATTTGTCTCATATTAACTTTACGTGAACAGTTCGAGAGCAATGAAGCTGTCACAACAGAGCTATTTCAGCATCTTCAATGGGGCACCGCGTCATTGCCAACATGAACGTTGCCATAGAAGTTTATGTGTAGCGACCTAAGAAAGGTTAAAGTAAGTTTATTCCAACGGACCAAGCGGGGGTCATCTCTTCAAAAATATCCAATCATCAGATTTATAATAGTCAACGATTTCCAAAGCACCGAGTGATGTGGCGCCAGTTTGCATACATTCAAAGCAACACCCGCATATTCGGTATAATCGCAAAAGTTGAACGCCCGGTTGTGGCGTAGGTGCGCGAGCCCCAGCCTGACATTTCCCAGAAAGGGCATCTAAACCTACGTAGTTGAGAATTGTTCAACTATTATTCATAGTGGCATGTTTAGTAAATGTTGTGGGAGTCAATTTGAAAGCGGTTGAGTATAGCTGAATGCAGCTTCCCAGTAGCGGGATCTTTCTCAAGGAACAAGAGTCAATAACTGTCAACGGTTTTTCACATATACACTATTCTATTGGTGATAATTGATAATAGACGTAATTGTATCATGATGCTGCCAGAGGTTGGCCCATGATATTACAAGACGAGCGTTGAGTTCTGGCTGCAACCATGCTCTACGCTTGCTCAACCTTTACGGAGCTAGCAAAATTTTGAGCAATAGGTATAAAAGAGAGCTCTTTAGTATTTAGAGTAATTAAGCTTCTCGGCTATCCATCGAGAAAGCAAGATTATAAACCCCGTGATGCATAGATCCTCAGAGGTGCCGTTGCCCTAGTTAGGAGTTTGTCCTATTGGATGCAAACTGAAACAGGGAAGCTAGCAGCAATCTATCAAGTATCAGTATTCGAGTCCTGAGACGAACATCGTCGATGAATAAGATATTACCAATACACTAGCCTCGGACGTTCAGCCTTATTGTCTAGAATCTCCTGTATCAGCTGTATTAGCGCGCCCCAATCCTGGCCGCAGTGGGCTGAATCTTACACCTTGATCACCACATCAACCGCCCCCATCAAGTAATTCCAACCTATCGCAGCCGATTGCTGGGGATTTTCCTCGGAAATAGTCTCTCCAGACTGTGTTTCCAGATGCACGGCCTCACCAAACTAGATACCAGGAGCGGCTTGGCACGCCATGTGGTCTTTAGTGATTATTTTTGGTAGCCATGATTCCACATCAAATTATAAAAAGTGACGATCGCGTTGGAATATTACGTCGGATCGCCCCCTTTCAAACGAATAGGGCTATTTTGCTTGAAACCATTAATGCCAAATTGGTTGTGTTGATTCAAGGCTTGCGTGTACTTATTGCTTTTATTTTCCTTTTGTTGGCAATCTGATTGATAGAACCATTGAATATACAACTCCGCATTGCACATTTACCAACTCACAAAACTCAATCCTAAATCGTCTTCAACATGCGTTCCATCCTTGCCTATGTGCTGGCCATATTAGGCACCGGCACAACTCTCGAGAAACCAGTCGGCGTGCCAGGCCTCATCTTCACCGAAGAATACGTCGACAAGGTTGCCAACCACTCCGCATCCTTCCATCCGAACTTCAGCAAGAACACCGTTGCGGGAGTGCAAGCCAATGGCCTCCTAGCCACAGCCGATGTCGACCTTTTCTTCAGCGGATCTGTAAATCTTGGAAGAGCTGCTTTTGAGCAGGCATTGGCCTTTGATCCTACTGGAGCACTCCGAGCTCAGTTTCTCGACAGACTCATCATTGTCGAAGGCAACATCGCCGCAACACTGAGTGCTACCAGAATCACTACAAACAGCACAGACGCTCGCTTCGAGACAACACTGGCAGAAACCATGATTTTCGACAAAGATGCACTTCTCAGCCGCATCGTCAGCATCAGCGAAGGTGGACTTCAAGCAGCTCAGTTTGCTGGCGAGATTGCACCGCCGCCCCTCGAGCCGATTGTACGAAACCCTATCGCCAACACTTCATCCGGCTTCACCTTCAAAATCAAGGAGAAGGCTGCGCAATTCAACATCAATTTCAACAACAAGAACGCTTCAGCCAACGGGCTCCTTGCCACAGAGAACGTCACAGTTGTCTCCGATGGCCGAAACTCAACGGGTCGTGCCTCGCTGGTGAACTTGTTTACTCGTTACAACACTTCGGTTCCTGATCTGCTACTTCACGACGAGTTTGTCATTGGCCAAGGCAACTGGGTTGCCACCGAATATATATTCCAGGGGACGCGCAATGGCACCTTCACAATGGTTAACGGAACGGAGGTTGCTCCTAATGGGGCCCAGTATCGTGCCAGGGGGATGCGGTTTATGAGATTCAACAAGGATGGCTTGATTGATTTGTTCTGGCAAGCAGCTGATAACGACATCTTTGTTAATCCTCTGAGTTTGTTGAATCCGCTTGCTGTTTTGAACAGTGCGGCATAGGATTCCGGCGTAGAGTTGCTTAGACCTGGAGGTGGTGTAATGTAGTTAATGCTGTATTATTTATTTATTTATAGAGATTTTATTCATACCTCAATATTCTGATTCACAATATGGTTGATGTTTTTTTTTGTCAATTTCTTTACAATTTTCTGCCTCTAGGTTAGGCAGCAATACATGTGCAAATGCGCCACACATAACACTGATGACAAGCCACACGGCACGGCAATACCTGAAGCCCGATGCGCCCAAAATCTCAACAAAGCAATTCAAGGCTCAAGACTCAGACAATCATCTCCGCCATAGAATTAAACAAGCAGCATCTCATCTCACAATGGGATCCGTCGTTCTCCCGCATCTGAACTCCGGCTGGCACGTCGACCAGGCCATCTTATCCGGTTCGTCATCCTCTTTAGTGTTGCTCATCGTGATTTTCACATGTGATTTCAGTGCTGACCTGTTCCATAGAAGAGGACCGTCTCGTCGTCATCCGGTTTGGACGTGACCACGATCGGGTAAGAGATTCCATCTTCTGGTTTTCATCTCTCGTGAACAAGAAGCTGACTGTCATTAGGACTGCATGCTACAGGATGAAGTGCTCTACAAGATAGCCGACCGCGTCAAGAACTTTGCCGCCATTTACCTATGTGACATTGACGAGGTAGGTCTCATCTTGCCCATGAGTGAGAGCTGCTTTTAACCCGAAGCAGGTTCCTGATTTCAACGCCATGTATGAGCTGTACGATCCTTGCTCTATTCTGTTCTTCTTCCGCAATAAACACATGATGTGCGATTTCGGTACTGGTAACAACAACAAGCTCAACTGGGTGCTGGAGGACAAGCAAGAGCTCATTGACATTATTGAAACGATATACCGAGGAGCAAAGAAGGGCAGAGGTTTGGTGGTCAGCCCCAAGGACTACAGCACGAGGCACAGATATTGAGTTGGGAGCTCTCCGGAGAGCACGAGAGAGTGCTCGATTTATACCCCAGCGATTTTACTGTTATGAGAAAGGAACATAAAGGAAAATTCGACATCGATCTATCGATCACGTTGGATCCTGGCAGCGTCGCGGTTCCGGTTCGTCTTCTGCGTTTGCGCTGTGGATGCGCGATCAATTGTCACGACAATACTCGGATTAGGACAGCCAAGAGGAGTTCACCTTGTACCAAATGTACCGGCAGCGATGAATCCTTTACGGAGGCTTGCTATGTTGAGACCGGTTAGACGCCATGGCATCGTGTATACATCGACTAGGACGACGGAACATAGCCGTGCACAAGATATAAGGGTAGTCTTAAGCATATCGAGAAAGAAAATATCCCGTCGGATACACTGATGACAGAATTGGGAACCGGCGCCTAAATTCTCCCTGCAATGCCTGACGTGATTCGGAGAATTTTCCGTTGCCTCGCCGTAGACCTCGGTAGTGGCTCTTGGTCTATCCCGGCTATTTGTTGTAGGCCTATATACTTGCACACATGAGAATAGTATTCATATGCGAAAAGCTCGTATGTGAAGGCGACTGGAGGCGTTGATGTGCTCCGAAGAGCTTCATCATCGTTCAAACCGGCTTCATTCTGGCATTGATTGAAAGCGACACAAGTGACTTGCAAAGATTTCGATTCAGCCGCTGGATGCTTTGCATGATGATGTATTTAATTTGTCTAACTGTTATACTGCTTGCCATCTCCCGAAACCTCCAGCTGTGTGTCTTCCCAATCAAGAATACGAAGCCTGGAGATCCAAGATGCTCCGAATTATAATCCGGATCAAACGAAATCCCCATTCGCATTACCCAACTCCGAGAAAGCCTTGTCTTAACCCACGAATAGGAAACCTGGGAATAACCTGATCTTTGTCACCCGGCACATGGATCGCCAGATGCCTCCCGCATTGGACATAGTCGCGGAACCATGTGCCGTCCATCGTGGGTTCAAATTGCGGGGGTGGAGCGTCATTCTCCAATAACGGCACGACGGAGCGTCGCCGAGTTGCGTATGCATGGTGTGTTGTGTTTTGTTTGTGTTGAGAAAGCAAAAAGCCCAGTGTTACGCTGCAATGGCAATGGGCTGTGATGCTGCTGTGCGTGTTCCGGTTGGTGCGCTTCCTCAACATGGCATTCTCCAGCTTCCTCCTCTTGTATTCCGAAAATAGATGGCTCTTATAAACGGTCGTGTGTAAAGAGGCACTTTTGTTTTGGACTATAAGTGGCCCTTGGCGTTGAAGTTGTCTCGTATCATGGTGGACATGTATATGCGTGTATTTGAGAGAGATTGAGTATGTTGTAACACTGGCTCCCTCTCCGCACTTCCGTAGGGTTAATTCTCCCAAGTGTCATTGAGCCAAGCGTTGTGGGACAATTATAAATGCGATTCAACTCCCCTCAGTGTCCTGTCTCTCTTTAATCCGTGGCGATTCAACTCAGAGGAGTAAGCGATCAATTGCTGATTCCCGAGTCGCAAGAGAAGTAGCAATATAGCTCCTCCATTAGAGAAGGACGACGACCGACTTCATCAAAGCGTATTGAAGAGAGCTGAAGAAAATGGCATCTCGCTCAATCAGCAGCGGCGGAGGGCCTTCCGTCTGGGCTGGCCTTGCGCTCCTCGTCTCTGGTGCACGCGCAATTGCGATGCCCGATGGAACCACTGTAAGATTGTGTTCCCCCTCACTTATAAATGTGCCTCTTTGTTCTGAGATGAAACATCTAGGGAAAAGTTCCCAGTTTGGGATGGAACTCGTGGAATGCGTATCACTGCGACATTGACGAGAGCAAATTCCTCTCGGCCGCCGAACTGATTGTGAGCTCTGGCCTTCTTGACGCAGGATACGAATATGTCAACAGTAAGCCAATCTCTTCAGATTCACTAGTTAGTAGCTGCTGATTCAATTCATAGTCGATGATTGCTGGTCGATGAAGGATGGACGGGTTGACGGCCATATTGCTCCCAATACCACTCGTTTCCCTGACGGTATCGATGGATTGGCCCAAAAAGTCCACGCTCTGGGCTTGAAGTTGGGTATTTACAGCAGTAAGTTGCCTTTGCTCGACCCTTGACCAATAAATCGAGAATCATCTAGATGCTAACCATGTACTAGCTGCTGGAACTGACACTTGCGCCGGCTACCCAGCAAGTCTCGGATACGAGGATGTCGATGCTGCCGACTTTGCCAACTGGGGAGTTGACTGTAAGTGCATCATACGTGTATCCCGCAACAGGAAGTATTGAAAGCTAACCATTCATGTTCAACTAGATCTGAAATAGTGAGTCTAAAGTTCTTGTTTCTTACTCATGAGCAGGAAAAGACCAACGTTGGCTAACCATGTTCAAGCGATAACTGCAACGTCCCCTCAGACTGGCAAGATGAATACGTCGCCTGCATCCAAGACGCTTCCACGGCTGGCCCCAACGGCACCTGCACCACCGCCCTCGAGCCGAAACTCGCTCCTCCAGGATACGACTGGAGCACGTCCAAGTCAGCCCAGCGCTTCGGCGCCATGCGAGACGCCCTGGCCAAGCAGAGCCGCGAGATTGCGCTGAGCCTGTGCATCTGGGGCACGGCCGACGTCTTCTCCTGGGGCAACGCGACGGGCATCAACTGGCGCATGAGCGGCGACATTTCTCCCGACTGGGGCTCCGTCACGCACATTCTCAACCTGAACTCGTTCAAGATGAACTCGGTCGGCTTCTGGGGCCACAACGACGCCGACATGCTCGAGGTTGGCAACGGCGATCTGACGATTGCCGAGACACGCACGCACTTTGCCCTCTGGGCGGCCATGAAGTCACCGCTTCTCATCGGGACGGATCTCGCCCAGCTGTCGCAGGACAACATCAACTTGTTGAAGAACAAGCACTTGCTGGCGTTCAACCAGGACGAGGTCTATGGCCGCCCGGCTACTCCGTACAAATGGGGAATCAACCCTGACTGGACGTACAACTCTACGTATCCCGCCGAGTTTTGGGCTGGTCCATCAACAAAGGGGCATCTGGTGCTGATGTTGAACACTTTGAACAAGACGGTTACAAAGGAGGCCAAGTGGCATGAGATTCCGGGCTTGTCTGCCGGACACTATGAGGTGCGAGATGTGTGGAGTGACAAGAATCTTGGGTGTCTTAGTTCGTACAAGGCGGCTGTTGCTGCTCACGACACTGCTGTTATTCTGGTTGGTAAGAAGTGCCGGAAATGGTAGATGTAAACTGTAATCCAAAACACCGCTGTTCAATTGGAGTATTGGTGCAGGTAGTGGTCAATACAATATTGACTATTAACGTCTTTGGTGTGCGTAATAGGCAGTCTGTGCTATCCGCTATCATCATACAAGACAGTATCAACGCCTATCTTGAAAATCATGATCAATATAGAAATATCAATAACGTGTAATTCAACCTATACGAATATATTAATTATAAAATGCTCATCATCAAACATTGTCCTCGTGGTCACTTTTGTCAACCAGACGCCGAATCTTGTTTTCCAACCGTTGCCCCAAAACGGAAAAGTCTTCAGCGCCTTTCATCCACCAACACTTTCAGAGCAACTCGTGTCCCAATTGCGTCAGCCATTCCGCCCTGCAACGCCCATTGAAGAGCTGAATCTTCTATTGTTCAATCGTCGGATTGTTGGATGAGCGATTCTGGCACCAATTGATGGGCTCATGGCTCGTGCTCAATCGTCTGCTTTGAGTTCCGGGAATCGCAGCGTCTTCTCCATTCCGACGTAGATGCCGAACGCCGACGATGATATTCCAAGGTCTGCCGAACATGCGATGCCGACTTTGATGCTCTTGTCCCTCTTCAATTGACGATTGAAATTTCAATTCTTCTAACATTCCTTCTGCATTGCATATAAACAACTCGAGTTATGATAACACTAGCCGAGTGAAATCTCAGCCATTGGATCCTTGGATCCATCAAGGTCCTCGGAGTCTCAAGACTCATAACCAGATCCCGACATCAATATGGCTGCCAATAACTCACCAGACCTCGAAAACTTCACTCCGCCACTCCCTCTCCAGAGCAATAGCGACATCGAAAACGACCCTCAGTCACTATCTTGTCCTCCTTCCACCAGGCTACGCTTCCTTGCCCAAACTCCACCGCTCAAAACAACAACCACCTCGGCAGCACAATCTGAATACGGCAGCAGACGCAGCTCTTATATCTTCCCGATAAACCAGATTCTCCCAGAAGACCACATCGACCCGGACACGTTCGGCGTGGCCGAGGAGAGAGATGGCTTCTTTGACGCCTTATTCCTCAAGCACACGCCGTTGGTGCCGCAAGTCTTTGTAGAACGATCCAGGGCTTCGCTCCCCGCTGCTTTCGACCAAGAATCACCGTTGGCAGCGAGTCGGTTCATTCCAAGACAGATGCGTGAGGCCAAATCGGTGCTCCGGCGTGTCGCCACAACTCGAACCGGCATTCGTCTCCTCAGATCCTTTACCGCCTATTTCGCAGCGTACATTCTGTGCTTGATACCGGCTGTCCGAAGATGGCTTGGTCCAATTCACTACATGATAGCCGTCTCAGTCGTCTTGAATCACCCGGCCAGGAGTTTGGGTGCGCAGATTGAAGGCACCATCTTCACCACCATTGGGACAGCAGCCGGGATTGGATGGGGAGTTGCTGGTCTTTTACTATCCACATCGACCTCTGCCGCCAGCAATGGCTATGGGGGCATTCTGGCTCTTTTCCTGGCCCTGTTCATGGCAGTCATAGCATGGACACGTTCGTTCTATGCGAGATTCTACCAGATGGTCGTATGCGCAGGCGTAGCCATCATCTTCACCGTCTTATCCCAGACTCAAGGACACATCATCGTGTGGGAGAAGCTGAGAAACTACGCGGTTCCTTGGCTCTTTGGCCAAGCCATCGCACTGCTATTTAACTGTACAATCTTCCCTGATGCTGGCGCAAGACCGCTTGCCCTTATTTTCCATAGTTCTTTTTCCCTCATGCTGGTTTGTACATCCTCATTGACTCTCATGCCCTCATCTAGTCTCATCTAATTATTTCAATTGTCTAGGAGGCCATCGTGATTCCACGTCCTCGAGACACCAGATTCAGGCGGAGTCTAGTACGTGCATTCGTAGACCTGTCTGCCTCTAACCGTGAGATGCGGTCCAGCCTCACCATTACACGATTCAAGCCAGACGATGTGAGAGACTTGCGAAACATCATGCAAGCCGTCATCCGCGCTCTGCTCGCCATGGAAACGGAGAGCGCCCTCTTTAGCGAGACCGACGATGGCAACGTTCCGATTGTAGTCGAGGCCACCCAGATGTCATCCTCATCTTCCAGCAGCAACGATCTGAATAATATTACCACAGACAAGACTCCTGGTGTATTGAAAGAAGCGGACGTAACGCGTACGGTGATTCGGAAACTGGCAAAGCCTACCAAAGAGATTCTTGCATGTATGAACCTGGGGCTGCAGACAAGCCAAGCTGCGTTGATGGACCTCTCTGGCTACCGACAATATCTCGGTCCTCCAATGGCCGTTTCATCTGACATTGCCCCAGTCCAGATTCGAATAAGGACTGCCAAAGCCATCTTCGACGCCATCGAGTCAGAACTCCTTGAATCAGGCCAGCTGCCCTCATCATCGATGAACGATTCGGCCATCGTCCAACTATTCATCTTTGCAAGACACCTCCGTGAAACCGCAACCACAATCGAGAGTCTCATGGGCAAAGTATACAACATGCAGCAATGCTCCAACTGGCCACGGCCTCACCTACCGTCATATCCACTCCACAAAGCCGTCCACTGCGTCAACCCTCAAGTCACCCATGACCGAGGCGGAGCCACAGCCGGATCATACCACGTCACGTTCCTCGAAATTGCTCGTGCTCTAGAATCCATCAAGAGTCGAGAATACAAACCTTTGGAGAAATACGAAGACGACATCTCGGAGACGGAATTACACGCCGAGCTGACGCATCTCACGGATCCCGGTGCGCCGCCCGATCTAGGGACTAAGAAGAACAGCGTGAGTTACAAAATCTGGCAGGTTCTGCACCTTTTACAAGGCTACGAGAGCCGATACGCCTTCAAAACCGTCTTGGTCACGTCTCTCCTTGCAATCCCCTCCTATCTCAGCTGGGACAAGGTCTGGTGGGATGAATACGAAGCTTGGTGGGCTGTTACTATGAGCTGGCTTCTCATCCACGCCCGTGTAGGCGGCAATGCACAGGACCTGATTGCCAGAGCTGTCCTAGCCATACTAGGTGCCGTGTGGGCTGGGATTTCACATGCCGCAGGAGATGGAAACCCCTACGTAGTTGCAGTGTTTGCAGCTATCTTCATGATACCCATGCTCTATCGATTTACGCTGAGCTCCCATCCGGTAAGATCTCTGTTCCCCTGATCACTGGTTATAATAAACTAATGAATGATATAGAGATCTGGCCTCGTTGGCTGCTTGTCCTTCACAGTCATCTCACTCCAGCTCCAAGCCGGCAATCTCCCCTCCTCAGCAGCTCTCACCACCGCCTACAGAGGCGCCGTATTCCTCATTGGCACAACCGCTCCCATCGTCGTCAACTGGTGTCTATGGCCATTCATCGCAAGACACGAACTCAGGAAATCACTCTCTTCAATGCTCTTCTTCCTAAGCATCATCTACCGAAGTACTTCTACAATCACACATCACAACCCTCCACATATGATCTCACTAACTCCCTCAACAGACGTCGTCGCAAAATACATTTACTTTGAGCAAGGCAAAGAGCCCACCCCAGAAGACATCATCAGATCCGAAATCCTCGAAGGCCGCATCAGAGAAGGCTTCGTCCGAATCAGACAGCTCCTCGTAAGTATCTCCAACCATCTCCAACCCATACCTACACATCAAACCTGACGCCAGCGCCATCAAAAGGTCATGACCCGTCACGAAGTCCGCCTCCGCAGCCCCTTCAACCCCCTCCCCTACTCCGGCCTGGCAGACTCCTGCGAACGCTTCTTCGACTACCTCATCGCCGTGCGCCAATCCGCCGTCTTCTACAACCCAGACTACGTCCGCGACGACCCCGTTGCCGCACAGCGCCTGCTCGGCTTCAGGAGAGACGCCGTCGCCTCCATATTGGCCAACCTGTACATCTTCGCCGGAGCTCTCAGAGCCGACCGAAAAGTCCCAGTACGCACACTCTTGAATCATCATTCTCTGCCTATACATGTTCTCTATTGTTAACAACCTCTAGCGCTATCTCCCCAGCGCCGCCGCAGCAAGGAGAAAACTCCTCCTGGAAACCGCCGCCGTGGAAGACGAAATGACGCAGCACGGCCGCGAGAGCGACGTCCGATGGCACAAGAAGTGGAGCGACATATACAGCTACTCGTACAACGAGAGTCTCACAGGCTGCGTGGCCCAGCTAGAAGAGCTCGAGAAGTTCACAAAGTTCATCGTCGGCGAGCAAGGGTAATTCCCCCCTAGCTAATTCCATCTGACATTGCGGGTTTAACGTTTAATAGGTTCGATGATGAGTGGAAGTTAGGAGAGCATTATGAAGATGACAGCGAAGAGGAGGATGAAGTAGAAGGCGAGGAACGAGAAGACGAAGAACACGACCAAGATGACGACGATGACCAACACTCAAGACAGACGGAATAAGCAAACGTAATACTTCGTAATCTGAATTCTCGCCAGAATAATACCCTGAATGCAATGCCTCGTTATCCTTGCTTTACAAATATCCTATGACCCCATAATCACACGCGTCCAACAACTATAATCAATCCTACCACCCGGCAGAGAAATATGCAACAAAAAGCCTCCCTCTCAAATTCAAAATGCGCCATTCGTCATCTCATTCAGTATATCCCTCGTAATCAGCTTCCCCTTGAGTAGCATCCCCTCTCCCATCCTTGCTCTTCTCGGCGACGGCCTCTTGTTCTCCTTGTCTTTATACGAAGTGGGACTCACCCTCGTTGGCCGCTTTGGTGACCTCCGGGGCGTCCGCTGCGTTGTGAGCTGTGTGCTCAAATCTTCAAAATAGTGGTTCTGAAGCGCGTTATCCGGCAAGTGATATATCCAATTGCGATCATCCATCAATGAGATGAATTTGCTCAGCATATTCTCATCTCCGCTTCCCTTGAGGGTGCTCATGCTGCCCACAACAAGAAGCTTCGTCTTTGCACGAGTAAAAGCCACGTTGATACGTCGCCAGTCTTTGAGTAAATCTCCAATATTGCACGCCTCGTTGCTTCGTACCAGGCTCAGCACGATGACTTCCTTGTCTCGTCCCTGAAAGCGATCTGTCGTGTGCATTTCCACGCCGGGAAAGTGCTTGAGTTTATCTTTCAGGAGGTGGAGTTGCGCACGGTAGTGTGTCATAACACCAATCTCTGTGGCTGGGACGCCTACAGTAAGCAAGCTTTCGACAAGCTGAGAAACGACTTGTCCTTCGGCTGGGTTTATGATGCGCTTGCCTTGAGCCTCTTCTCGAACTTGCGGACGAATTGTATCGGTGTCAACAAACCGAACGCGAGCTTCAGCATCCAGGAGATCGTAAAGCCAGCATCGTGAAGGGACGGGCCCGGTACAAAACGAGCTGGTTGTTCCAGAACGATGTATCGACGTTGAGTCGTGGTGGCGTTGTCTAAGAGATTCCATGCTGGGAACGTGAAGCTTCTTCTTGCGTAAAGCTTCCGTGCCACAACGAAGTCTACCATTGTAGATGAGGGTGTTGCTGAGAGTCATAATATCTTCGCACATGCGGTACTGGTGCTCCAAATTGACAACGGACTGCGGGTGCGTATCCGATAGAAGTTTGAAGAGACTCACATCCAAGCCGCCCAGCCGGGCCTCCTCATTCTTCACCACCGGGGGTAGCTGGTTGTGGTCTCCTACTAGAACAAACGTCCTTGCGAGTCGAATTGGGCCGGCGCAGATAGGCAAGGTAATCTGCGATGCCTCATCTACGATGCAGTAGTCAAAGGAGCGCTCCAAAAAGACTTGGTGGTTAATTCCCAGGCAAGTTGTGGCGACAATTGGGGTTCCATGCCAAGCTTCCTTAATCTCCTCAAACGTCTTCTTCGGCTGACCCGCGAGATGTGCAAAATCTTGAACTTCAGGATGAACCTTTGCAGGGGCACCAAGTCGGAGAATGGGGATTTTATCCGACTTGAGCTTGAGGAGGATGTTGTCAACAGCAGTGTGTGTATGAGATGTCAGCAACACCGTCTTGCCCTGTGAAACGAGAGCCTTGATGATGTGAGCAATGGTAGTCGTCTTGCCGGTGCCAGGCATTCCCAGCACAAGTGCATAATCTTGCGCGCTCATGACCTTTTCGATTGCTCGCTTCTGATCGACATTCAAGCTCTCCCCATCTGTGACGGTATATTGCGTTGCCACTGTTTTGAATCTAGGAGGAACCAGATCCACAATCAAGTTGCGAATCTGCACCGCAGCCGGCACATCATTTGCCATCATCTGTATCAAGTTGTTTCTCACAGTGGCCATGCCATTGCTGAACTCGTCCTGATCCAGGCGGTATCTGATAGGCGCCTCCTTGATTTTCCCTTGGCTCTGATCAATTGATGCACCCTCCGGCGCAACTTCCATAATGCTAGCAAAAACTTGATTGTTGACTTCGTCAAATCCAGGCTGTCGAATTCTCGCATTGTGTAATCGTCGGTCCACCGCAACACTTATTCTTTGCTTTCGAACAGAGGTAATGTAGCCAATCGCCAAAGCATAGTGTCCTTCTTCATCTGATACAACCACTGGTTCGCCAACCGTTAACTCTGATCCGATAAACGTAAAATTAGGCGGAGGCTCGCGTTTGATAAAGGTGTAGTGGTATCGATTAATCCGCGGGTTATCCTCATCGACCGACGCAGACCCTTCTTCAATGATGACATCCGAAAAGCACCGAGATTTCTTCTCACGCTCAGTACTCATCATCGTCCAAAGTTCCCTCTTGGTCTTTTGGCTTTCTTTTTCTTCCTTTGTAAGCAAGTTTTCCCACTTGATGAAAAAGTCTTGATGTTTTGGCGTTAAATGCTTGATGACTTCGTCAAATTTCTCATTCATGCCGCTGGATTCCCCGTTGCCATCATCAGCTAGACGGTGATAGATGAAACAGGAAGTTTTTGCATAGCACTTTCCACACATGTGTTTGCTCTTCAGCATGGGAGGTAGTTGGACGCTTCGCTCTCGGATATAACATGCCAGTTGGTTTCGCTGCATAACCATGTGTCGAAGCTCGTGTCTAATGGCGGGAATTCGCATCGTTTTAGATGTCTCCATGTAGTATAAGATGCCATAGGCAATATCAATGTCATAACGGTCCGATAATAGGAGAGTGTAGAGAGCCGTCTGCGCCATGTGGTTGCTGTTGGCATGTTTGCCAGTCTTGACTTCGAATGGTACTGTCAACACCTGGCTCTGCTTGCCGTCCATCATTGCGACTTCGACTGTTGCGTCAATGTTTCCCTTGAGCCCATAAGTAGGCGACCAGACATGCTCTTCCACGTCAAGCAGTTTTCTGACGGCGATAGTGGCCCTATCACCATTTCTTCCTTCGACAATGGCATCGGTCTGGACACTGTTAGCATCGAGTATATGTGAAATACATATCGTCACATCTTACCTGCGGTTGAGATGCAACAAAACTCTTGGCCCAATAGCTGAGCTCGGTCATTTTCGATTGAAGGTGTTCTTTCGCAGCCGCAATGCCAACTTTGATCGTGTACAAATCCTCAATGTGTTTCTCAATGTTCTTATCAATCAACTGAGATAGGGAAGGGAGATCAAATTTGTTGGCGAGTAGTGCTTCCTGGAAGATTTCGTGGAGCATCGTTCCGTAGACCAGCGGAGGGGAAGCCTCGCTGGTAGCCTTGACTCGATCTTGGAGAACAGCTCGCCGCATGCAGCCAAAGGAATCAGCAACAACAGTTGCGGATACCAGCTGGTCGGGGTGCAGGATCAAGAGATTTTGGGCATCGTCCACAACACATTGCCCCTTTAATGAAAACTCTCCAATGACATGGACATAAGAACCAGGGTGCGCCGGCGTATCGAACCAAGAACCTCGTAGCTGTACAGTCCGTGAAGACTTGGAGCCATCCGCTTGAATCAGCAAGATCTAATTTGAGTCAGCAGGTGTCACAAGTCCGAGTAATCGTTGGCTCGGCTCACCTTTTCCGGACAGGTGCGGTTGTATTGATCGACGTATTCACCGTCTAAGACACTGGTTACTAAATATCGCTGAATAGTCTTGATCTTCTTCTTGTTCTGGCCTACATTTAGCATGGTTTCTTCCGGGATAGCTTCCTCACATACAGCTGTTGAAGCAGAGTTTCGCTGCTGGACCGCTTGAGTCGCAGCGTATTCAAACGCTTCAAAGTCGACATCGCCGTCAAAAACATCATCGAATTCGTCATCCAGATCAACTTGCTTCTTGGGGGTTTTCTTTTTAGGAGACGTCTTCATTGCCCTTTGCGTCCTTCTCGCCGGCACTGGAGTCTGGGTCTCCAAACCTTCCAGCAAATCATCCGCGCCGTCGAAGATGTCGTCGTCAAAATCGTCAAATTCATCCAAAACTGGCTTCTTCTCCAATCCCCGCCTCTCTTGTTTCTCTGCTCTTTGTGTGTTTCCATTGACCGTTGTAGTAGACTCTGCCACCTGAGACGCCCGGATTGCTTGGGATGCCTGTGATGCCTGCAAAGTTTCTTCGAGCATTAGGAGCTCATCATCCAGATCATCATCATCGCCATAGTCCGAGACGGTTGGGCTTGGCAATCGACGCCTTGAATTCCTCGACGGCGAGTTGTTCTTCTGAGGCGCAGTCTGCCTCTTCTTAAGAGACGGTGAGTCCATGGCTCCAATATCGGCGTCCTCATCCGGGTTCTGGTCGTGAATACTACTCGTGACTGAATCCAGCAACGCCGTAACAAGAGATGACTTGGACGCAGCCTCCAGCTCTCGCTGACCAGTGCTGCTCTGGCTGCCAGACTTGGACTTCTCAACCCTCCTCCTCTTGGTCCAATTGAATCCACAGCTAGCAGCCCGGCGCAAGTCTCCCTGTTCCACTTGTGCAGTCTGGTTTTTGGAAGGTCTCGGAGATGATGATACCATCAACTGGGCAAGGATGGGGTTCGTCACACCGGTGATGGCAGACTGTCCCTCTGGCCCATTCAGCGAGTAACGATCCCACAGCTCCAGAGTCGGGTCGGGGTGAGGCCCCTTCAACGCCTTGGCGAGTTTCTTGACATTGACCGTCGGGGTGGCAATTCGTTCGGTGGGGGGCGAAGAGATCGGCGAAGAGCTCCTGGCTCTCTTCCTGCCTTTACGGGGCATCATCGGGGAAATGGTGGCGAATGCATTTGGATCCTGCTTGTTATTCCACAGCAGCTTTTCGCTGGGAGAAGTACTGGTATCCTCCTCGGCCTGGCTGCATGGCTCGAGGAGGTCGCTCCAGTTCAGCCGAGTCACCGGAGTGGCACTGTTTCCAATCATCTTAAGGTTGGAGGGCGTTTCCGAGTTGGACGCTGAGGTTGTCCCACGGCCCCTCGCTCCTACGCCTTGTTTTGCCGCGGACCCATGGTTAGAGTCCTGGTAGAGAAACTTGTTGAGCTTTTTCTTGGTCACGTCGGAGATGGGAATCAGATTCTTCGAGTTCGGGGCCTGCAGGTTATTTGGGTGGCTGTGAGACCGCTGCCACGGCGAGCGTTGCTGCACCGCATGTAAGTGACCAGTCACAACAAAACAACAAAAAGTAAACATACTCTCGGGAGCCCGATCCGCTCAGAATACGACTTCTGGAGCGGCATGATTGGCGAGGCTGTGACGAGAGCCTTACATTGAAAGGCTTCTCTAGTCGTGCATTGTTCGTTTTGATTTTTTATCGCGAGGGTTGGACGCTCGGCAGTGACAATCTGTGCTGTTCAATTAGGAAGGGCAGATTGTCTAAACGCGCCCCCGAAGCGCGTCGCGGAGCTACAAACATGAAGCTTAATGACACGGTCACGTGGGGGTGCTTATCGATAAAGCTGCCGGTCCCTTGCAATGTCTTGCGTCACAGCGCTTCAACCGGCTTCATATGTGGTTCGATAGCTTACATTCGCGGGGTTGCATCTACGAGACATTGAATTCCGATTTTATGTTGCCTTGTTGATAAATAAAAAGGAACAAGGATAGAGAGAAAGACACAAAACATGGACGATTCCGGCGGCAGCAACAACGGCGGCGACGGCAACCGGAATCCCGATTTCAAGAACATGAGCCGGTCTGAATACATCCGCAATGCCAGAGCAGCCATGGAAGAGCGTCGCCAGCGAGCCATAACGAACCGCCAGCAATTCGAACCGCAAATCCACGAGCAGATTCAACGCCTCTTCCAGAATTACGAAGCTCCCTTCTATGCGCGGTTCCGTGGCTTCGGAAAGGCCCAGACCTTGGCCTTGGCGGAGTCAACCGTCGTCTCGCTGGCCGCAGTCAACAACAGGCCCTTTGAGGACTCGGAAACTCAAGCTCTCACGGAGCACTTCCTATCAAGCGTGCACAACTTGCTGGCATGGAAATGGGCCATGACCGGGTTTGCAGCGTACATGGCCTACCGAGGCCGCAGGATATGGCGGTTCCCCTTCTTCACGCCCGAGTTCAAGCGCTTCAGCCCCATTGGCGGCAGCCCGGGCCTCAAGTTCATGTGGCACAGCGCCCGCTTCGCCGCCTACTATGGAACTCTGTGGGTTCTCGGGGAGCCAGTCTTTCAGGGCGCAAACTTTATGCGGCAGCGTTCGGAGATGGAGCGCGATTCAAGGCTGCGGGCACTCTTACATGACGGAAAGTCGCAAGGCGCAACTTTGCTAGGGGGCAACCCGGACAACCGCGAGCAGATCAACGATGCATGGGAATCAGCGGCACAGCAAGAGAGCGCGAGTCAATATAGAGAGTCAGAACAACAGAACCAGAACACTCCAACACAGTCCTCTTGGACCTCATATGGCACCTCTACGTCATCATCACAGGCCCCCCAGCGAGCCGATTCATGGGACTCTCATATAGCCGACGAATTCGACGACGCTTCGCCCGTCGCTCCCTCGAGAAATAGCTCGGATGCTTCAGGAAACAGCAGCGGATCAGCATGGGACCGCATCCGTCAGCAAGCACAATACCAGCCATCTTCCCAGCCAGACCGAAAGACGTGGGAGAAGCCCCAGTCTGGAGGCGGCTGGGGCTCAGAAGCTGACTCTAGCGCGCAAGTCTCCCGGGACGGCTATTCTTTTTCAAAGGTCGACGAGGAAAAGAACCGGGAAAGGGTTCAGGCGCAGCGGGAGTTTGACCGTCTGCTGGAGAGGGAGCGTGGTGGTACTGACCAGGAGAGGAGTCCGTGGAGCAGGAAATAGAGACATGGCTTCAACACATGCTCATATTTCAACGCTCGTGTATCATACATTTATTTTATTAGGAGTATAAATCTCCAATAATGTACTATTTATGCTTTGATTTACACTATTGGGAGAGATAGGAATGATCGTCGCATTAAAGCCAACTGAAGAGAAATACAGCTTCATCTCAAGAATGCCAAGTGTAAAATATACATACACCAAAAGTACCGATGAAAGAAAGTCCAAGTTGCACCAGAAAGACCAATGAAACAAGCCTTCAACGATACAATCGTGCACAAGACACCCAGTGCCAGCCGCACTCACGACAGCTGCTCTAAGACTTTACCTCATCCTTCACCTCGACCGGCTCTACCTTATCGTCCTTCTGCTCCACTTTGGCCTCCAAGATGCTCTCGCCAGCCATGTTGGTCGCAAGTGTTTCTTCCTTCACAGGCTCATCTGACTTTGCGGTTTCCTCCAGCTTTTGCTTCTCAGGTTCTACAGTCTCCGGCTCCTTGACCTCCTCGGGCTCTTCAACCTTTTCAGGCTCTTTGGCGCTTTCGAGGGCCTTGACTTCTTCAGATTCAGCCACAGGTTCTGGCGCCGGCGCCGGCGCCGGCACTGTCTCAGATGCTGCAGGCTCTGCAGGAGCGGAGGGCTCAACAGATTCCTTGGGGGTTTCGGTTTCTACCGGCGGGACAAGAGGCTCCGGCTGCTTCTCCTCTTCCACTTTAGGCGCCTCTGGTTCAGTAGGCTTCTCATTCTCCGTTGGCGGTGGCGGTAGCTTTTCTGATTCTACTACAGCTTCAGAAGTTTCCTTTAGAGGGACCTCGAGAGAATCAGAGGCGACATTAACATGGCCATGTTCGGGATCAATGTTCCAAATTGTCTGTGGCTGAGAAACGGAGAGGGAGACAGGCGTGGCTTCTTTCGCCGCAGCAGGGGCGGGAGCCGGAGCCGCGCTCTGGGTTGGAGCACGGCGCTGCGGTCCTCTAGCCCGACCCTTTCTAGCATCGGATAGCGGAACCTTTTCCTTTTCCTCCGCAGGTTGACTCTTCTCTGCCTCTTCCTTCTTTGAGGGCTGAGGTCCAAGCTGCAGACGCTTATTCAGGTCGCTCATGAAGCCAGCTTGAAGCGCGGCGATCTTGCCACCAGCAGGGCGAGATGGAACAGGGGGCTTCGGCTTGGGGGCGTCCGCATCCTTTGAGTCGCCCGAAAGCTTCTTCACAGGCCGAACAGGTATTGTCGGCTTGGTCGCATCTTCGCTGGCAGCCCCAACTTGTGGTTTTGACTTTGGCCGTTCGGGTGCAGCAGGCTTGTGTGACAGCAATTCGGCCAATTTCTTGGAGGGTCGAGCGGGAACTTCAGGCTTCTTCTCGTCCCTTGGTTTTTCTTCAACCTCGGCCTCATACAAAAGACTCTCTGGAGTGTCTTCCCACACATCTTTGCTCGGGAACCGGTTTGGCTTTCCAGTCTTCAAATGGGGCTGGTGATCCACCCAAGACGGCTTATGTTCCAGAATGGGCAAGAAGTTGTGCTTTTTCCCATTTGCCTCCTTCTCCGCGAGCTCTTCTTGTTGCATGGCAAACACCTGCGCCGGAGTCATGGGGCGATTTTCGTGGTGCTGCGACGACTTCCTTCGCTGCTGGTCTTCCTCCTCCTCCACATTGTCAGGGGTTGATACCTCGGCGGTGTAATGAACGCTGGTGGGCGCATCCTCCCAAACATCTTTGCTGGGGAAGTAGTGGCGTGCTTTGGATCCGTTTTTGCTCTCACGCTTTTGCTCTTCCTCCTTCTTTGCGGCCTCATCGTCGAACAGAGGCTCGTACTCACGCACATCTTCCAGTGGAGTGGAGTCAAATTCGTGACCGGAAAGAGCGTTGTAGATGCTCGTCGGGCGGCTGCTTGGGCGACTAGTCGGACGGCTTGTGCCATCGTACGAGCTGCTATTGCGGTCAAGGTGCGGGCGAATAGCCGGGTGTTGTGCGGGCTGCTGAACATCCTTTTCGATCTCGTCCGCAGCAAGGATCGGTGCCTCAAATTCGTGCCCGTGAGATTCAACGGGGCTTTCGGCACCATAAGAATATTGCTCTGGGTGCTTGGGGTCGTCTACATGGATAGGTTTGTCTTCAGACGCTCCAGGGTCTTCTAGCGGAACACTTCCATCCAAGACGATGGAGACGGGGCGTGGAGTGGCCATTCGGCTAGCATACTCCTCGTGAGCCTGGAAAGCAACCTCATCATTGGGGGTTCCTCTATATTCCTCGAAATCTGCACAAATTTGTCAGCCTGGGTTTATAACAGTCACCAACCAAAGCAAGTCTGCACCAACCTATGCCAGATCTACGCTTGGTCTCTCGGACCAGCTTGTTGAGGTCATTACTGCTCATGGCAAAGTCATTCTGGCGATCGTGTATCGGAGTGTGATGCTCTCTCTGCAACAGTTCGGGGTGCTTCTTGTAGTAGGCTTTATCAAGTTCGTCTTGCGACTCGACACCATGGCCGTGCATTCCATAGCTTCCAGGGGGGAGACCACGGGAGCTGTGCCTGCGACTGTGATTCTTGCCGTTTCCGTCCGAGCCTGGGGCAGGTGACGGCGCTTGGACGTCTCCCAGGTGCGGATTCATGGGGACTCGCTGGCCGATTTCGGGGATGCCATGCTCATCATCGAGCTGATGCTCTTGCTCGCTGGTGGTGGAGAAGCTTGTGCTAGACTTCTTCTTCAAGCCATTTCGGGAGGCCGATCGCCCCTCAAAGTATCCAGGCTTTCCAATGCCAAACGAGGCAGCTTTGTCCGAGTCGGTTCGGGTGACGGTCTGGAGTCGTTCTTTAGCACTCGAGGCAGGCAGGGACGGCTTAGGTGCGTGCAGCTTGAGGTCCTGGGCGACGGAACGAGTCTGCTCGGGGTCCTCGGTGCCCTCTCCCTTGAGCTCAGCGGTGATGACGCTGTATTCCAGGCCCTCTTCGCCAACCGAGGGCATCGGCACGCTGTCGGGGTGGTCATCGTCGCCGCTGCGGTCACTCGGGCTGAACTGAGCCGCAAGAGGGCTTATGAGGCCATCGGTAAAAGGCGATTGGGCGAATCGATCGGGGTTGGGCGACTTTGAGCGGTCAATGCGCTTGTTGGTCGGACGCGGCGGGACCAGAGGAGTCGAGGTGGCGGCCAAGAGGTCCTTGGCCGGGCTTTTGGACGGACGAGGAGGGATGGCTGGTTGCTGCATCGTCGGTGCCGTCATATTGTGCAAATCATTTAAAGATGCGGAGTGAAATGTTCAATTGTTGTATTATTGAATCGTTTTATGCGAATGGATGTAAATAAGGAAACAAGGTTTCGAGCTGGAGAGAGAAGCCACAAAGCGTCAGCTGGTGTTTTCGACTTGACCCTTTTTACATCAAAGGCAGAAGTGGGATGTCACAGGACTAAGGCTGCAACACAAAGGGGGCCTGAAACGAAACCCAACGAGCCCATTGACGACCGTCTTTGGGCCGCGGCGACTAGCAGCCTCTCATGCAATGCCAATTAATTGCATGCGGGCAATTGATGGGCAACGAGTCGCGTCGCCGTGGTCGAGCCAGTCATGCCCTACGGACCGTGTCGTCTTGTATACATGCAGCCACCAAGGTGTCCCGCCGCTCTTGGAGTCACTCGTCAGGGGCCAACGTACCAATTGCGATTGTTCCGGATGATCGCTGCAGAATCTCTCAAAAGGCTACAGCGATATCAATGTATCGGATTCTAGCAGTAACACAAAAGACAGATGGATGTCAATGAGATTGGGAGTGATCAGAGTCTGCGATGCTGCCGTGGGCAAGGTGCCTCGAACAGCTTATCTATACCAGCGCCGCCATTGGGGAGGCCTGTGCGCTAATTCTGGCAACCGATAGCGCCTCACGCATGTGCCGGATGCGCACTGTATTCCCAGCGCCTGGACAGTGGGCAGCCCCCGCCTAATGCAGCCGTGAATACAGTGCAGTGCGACCGTCAGCCGCACTGCCATCCCACCCCCTCTACGCCACACCACGCCTGGAGCCAAGGTTAAAGGCAAGAAAACAGATGTGACTCGTTCAGCGAAACCGTCCGTTCACCACCAGACGCTGCGCGATTTTATCTAGACATTGTAGCGTCATGCAGTTACTCTATTCTATCTGCTATATAGGCAGTAATTGGGTTGATAGGAACATCAATGCAAAATGCACAGTATGCGGGCTCCTTACCTTACTTGCTCAGCTTCGCCCAGACAGAACTCATCGTCCTGAATTGCGTCACTAGTAGCTCAGCAACCCCACCACCGAGATCACTCGCTCACCAGCTGGATCCCCTGCAACTGGCAGAAATCGAATCGGCTGACCTGTAAAACTAATACGCTACGGGCGACTAAAGCTGGCTGGATCAGCTCGAGCAGCGCAGCATCAATCACCAGCTCACCGCCAGTAGAGTCGCCAAGTGAGTGCTTCATCGACGACTTCTGTTGGGCTGCCTCTCCATTGGCTGGAGCATGTGCTGTGTGTGTGTTACTCTGCATAGAATATGCACCTTTGAGACAACAGAACATGCTACAGATCCTACCGTCCATCTGAAAGGATTGAGCCGAGAGTCCGTTAGCTGAGCCTGGAGCTGCAGGTGATTCGGCCTGCAGCCCTCCGATGATGCCCTGACATCTGCGAGAGGAGCTCTAAATGGCCGAGCAGCTGTATGAAATCACAACCTACCTAAAAACCCCTATGAAAAAATATGCGACGTGGCGCCGTCACACCATACCTGTATGTATTTCTGTTTGTAAAATGGTCGGCTAATACAGGTACAGGCAGTACTACCTTAGTATTTACGCCGTCTTCTGTATTCCAAAACAGGTTGTTTGTTTCCTCGGTACTTCATCTCTGGGCGTCATACCACAGTCAGACGCCACAGTCGCTCAGAGCCACAATTCGCAGGACCGATGATCTTGGGATACGTCAAACTTCAGTGGAGCATGCAAATTTCTCTGAAATGCTCTCGCCTGTTAGATCTACATATAATCGGCTGTTTAATCATAGACTACCTGACTTGCCTGGTTGAATGAATAGTAAGTTTTGCGGTGCCATACTGACCTAAAAGCGCCGCAGACTGGTCGATTCACGCGTTGAAGCGAGTCGTCTAAGTGCCTGGACTGTAAACTCGTGGTAGTGTACATCTTAAGATAGAATTGGCATTCATCATCAACATTTTATCAGATGCTGCTGGGCAAAAGACACAGACAAGAAATCCTCTTCTCTTGAATCACCATCAGTCAACGTCAATTCGAGGCCCCGGCTAATACCAGATACTTCTCTCCAATTACTCACACATCATGGCTAACTAAATGCACTACAACCAAGAGAAGATGCCGCTTTAAAGACACAAATTCATTCAGCTTGAAATCTCGGCATCTTTCAGGTAGAAAGCAGTCCTCACTTACAGCACCCAGAGCTCATGAGACGCAAACGAGGCACAAATAATCAGCGTAACAGCATTTAGAAACTCTATTCCACTAAGCACAATCATGTAAGAAATGCGCACCGGCAACATGTCGAAATCAAACCATAGGCCATGATGGCTCATTCCCGACGCCGAAATTCCTTTGGTTACAAAGGCCCACTGACAACCCCATGCAAGCGGTCAAAAGTAATACAGGCAAAAAAAAAAGACAATCATCTCCTTAACCCGCTTGCCAAAAGTTTTTTGTCCAAGTTCCAAGCCTCGTCACTCCGCCCAGTTCATTCTGAATCATGCGTCGTTTGATGAGATAAAACATGTCGTTTAATGTATCCCCCTTCCTCTCACCCCTTTTTCTTTTCCCCACCGCAGCTATCGGCGCAGCAAGGATCTTAGACAATCATTTGGGCAATACCCGCGCCGCCAAGAGTCTTGCTGCCAATAAAGGCCTGGCCCTTGAATCCAGCAAGGCCGTAGCAGATGGCCGTCAGCAGCAAGAAAACTGCCGCAGCAATTAAGCTCGAGCTCACGATAATGGTGCTCAGGAACTGGACAATGGCCATGGTGAGGTAGGTGCCTGCTCGAATGTAGTTGGAGCTGACCTTGCGGATGAGCTCGTCGAACTTGGAGGACGTCGGGCAGATTCTGAGCAGCAGCGGCACCTCGATAAACAAGATGATGAGGGATGATGCCCTAGAGATTGGTTAGCTGGTTTGTGAAGGCTCAACAAGCCTTGGAGACGACTTACAGAGCGAGGGCGCAGAAGATAATCAAGAGTGCATATTTAGAGAAGAGCGTAAAGATGTTGGACAGCCCGGTCGCGAAACAAAGAATCATGGACAAGATTCCGAGCCTGTGAAGTCGATTTCGGGTTAGAAAAATATCTTCCCAACGAACTGGCATCTGGTATGCCACATCAGATATAGACGGTCGTCGAAGCAATCGTCTCGCAGCTGGCGCATTCGAGGCTTACCATTGTCCGTAGATACCTGTTCGCCATGGTTAGCACTGATGCGGTTCCAGCCTCAACTCGTCTCCGTGGTGCGCAAAAGCAACGTACTGAAATTCCGGGTCTGAAATTCTTCCTTGAGCGTCATTTTGGCGGATTATCGACGAAGCTGACCAGCAGCCAAGAAAACGGTGTATATAGCGGCGGTTTGCTCGTGATGCGCGCAATGGCCCTGCAAGTCAGGCGGCGGTTCAGAGGCGGCGATCAGAAGACGAGAAGCTTGCGCGATGTGGCCCGAGTCGAGATCTTGGGTGATTTGCTGATTGCGGTTGTCGATGGCGAGGAGGACAAAGGTGGAAAAGGTGGAATGTCGACGTTGTCCAAGGGACGAGGGCGACGAGCCTCTTTCTGGCCAGGTTGATTTAGTACCCGTTGCGGTATAGCGGCCGAAGGAATGGAGAGGAACGAGCGAGAGGGTACGGGCGGCAGGAGGTAGATGGTACGAGTGGCCCTGCAGGTGAGACGCAGGGCTCGGCGGGAAAGGAGACGGCGAGGACTGCCCCGTGAGTATTCGCGACTTGGGGCAATGTACTCCGTACCAAGGAACCTTTGAACTTACTTGAGGTCTAGGTGCTCCGTGCCAGCGACGGGCTGCCGATTGGACCCCAGACGGCTGGGGCGCAGCTGCTGGAACAACTGATGCTACAGGGGTTTTTGGCACAAGCTTTTAGCGACCCTGAGTCTATTGTCTGGTTAGGTATGGATTGCTCCGAGATATCAACGAAACGTCCAACTCTTTATACCCTATCCATCAATGCCTCGATAACGGATGCTCCATTTCAGTAGTGAGAATTCCATCTTCCAAGTCTCTTTATTCCCCGATACACAATTCTCTCCAGGCAGCAGAATTCCCACGCATCTTTCCGTCTGTTGTCTATGCCCTCCCTTAGGCAGCTCTAATACAATGGATGCATCACGGGCAACCACTGTGACGTAGGCCAGTACGTGGCAAGAGGCTGCGGCGATGCCGTTCGTCCGCTCTACAGCAATACGAAGGAAATGTCACTCGGCGCTTGACACAAAACGTCTAGCACGTTGATGGGCAAAGGTTAAAACTTTTGGCTAAATGTAGGTACTTGTTGTTCATGCACTCTGTAAAGCGAGTTGACTACCATTCGTTTAGCGATTGCGCCGTGACAACCACATTCTCGTACGCATGGAATCCAATGGATGGCCTACGCGAACACGGCCCGTTGATCCGGTGCCTGAGCGTTCCATGCTTGTCCAGTGTAGGATCGTCAACTAGCACGCTCATGTAGCTGCCCGTCATACTGTATGCTGCACTACCATAGAACATAAAACTCGATAAAAGTGTCACCTTGCCTGCACAAATTGAAGTTGCAAGTCATCGCGAATGTTTGCCTCTCACAAGACAAGCAAAAGCCGAATACGATGGCTGCAGTGCTTCTTACACGTGTGGAGAAACAGTCACTCCGTCCAGACTCCACCGAAACCTCCTCAACGCCGGACCGGTGCCAAGGGCTGCGGTTACATCATGTCATCAGCTCTGCCGATTGAGTGACCAGTATCAGAACTGCTGCAGCTTGCTGTCATAGCATACAGTAGGTACAAGCAGACATTCATCTTTTTCATCCAAGCCTGGCATTCACGGCATTGTACTTTTTTGCTTCTGTCTCATCTTGAGCCATTGGCTTTTAGCGGCTCCGTGTCCGTCGGTACTTGTTCCTTGTCAGCGCTGGCCTTGACCTGAACTAAACAGTTCCCCTCCAACCGGCTTCAAGTTCAAGAATAGCCTCACTGCCATCATGACCTTGACGGTTCTCTCAGATGACCAGGTCAAGGATATCCTAGAAACCCTGAGTCTGGACGAGCTGGAGGATTTTAGAAAGACCCTGGCCGACGCACTGCATGCCTTTTCAACGAATCTGGGTACCGACGGCTTAGGCGTGTTCCAGCAGCCGCATCGTGTCTCGACGCTGCATCCCGATACTCAGGCCACGACTCTGTATATGCCATCATGCGGCCCCTCTGGCATGGGCTGTAAAGGTATGTGGTACAAGAACTTGAAAAGCTCATTACATCTCAACCACGGATATTGACTGTGTATCATAAAGTGGTGTCCCTCACTGCTGCCGAGGCAACCAAGGACCCCTCGGTCCAGAAAATCAGTCCAACAGGAGTCGTCAACCTATTCTCACCAGATGGGAGGCCCATTGGCCTTGTTCACGCCAGCACGCTCACTGCTTTCCGCACGGCATTGGCCTCGCTATGTCTCGTCTATCGCCGCAACCACGTCAAGACAATCACCGTCTTTGGCAGCGGCATGCAGGCGTACTGGCATGTCCGCCTCGCCCTGATGATGAGGGGAAGCACAGTCAAGCACGTCAACATCATCAACCATCGCTTCTCGGACAGCGCCGGCCGCATTTTGAAAAAGTTTACCATTATCCCGCACGAGGTCAAGGTGCGCGAGGGCTGGGAGGCGGCAAAGTTCAGCATCCTGACGCCCACCTTTCATGAGTTCAACCGCCTGCAGAAGGAGTATATCCGCAACGCCGACATCATCTACTGCTGCACCCCGTCTCAGGAGGATCTTTTCGAAGCCTCCATCCTCACAAGCCATGAAGGTAGAAAAAAGGGCAGGCTCATTGTCGCCGTAGGAAGCTATACGCCCGAGATGAGGGAGCTGCCTGAGGGCCTTCTCCAGCTCGTTACGAAGCCCCGTGAAAAGGGCCATAGGCATTTTCACAAGCATGCCGACGAAGGCGGCGTCATCGTGGTAGACACATTGGATGGAGCGTTAACGGAAGCCGGGGAGATTATCCATGCAAAGATCCCACCCACCCAACTTGTCGAGTAGGTAACCCCTCACTTCCCTCATGATAAAACCCCCTATCAGTTTGGGAGTGCCAAGCTAACGGCGATGGTTAAAGGCTTGGCGAGCTTGTAATGCTTCACCGAATGGCCGTTGACGAGTCAGAGTCCGAAGCCTCCGATGTCATGTCACAGACGTCCTCGTTCTCAGAGCTGGACCTCTCGGAAAGAACCCAATCCATGAACACAGTCTACAGCGATGTGCCACCTAGCCCCTCAAGCACAACGTCGTCGGGCCACAAATCGCCCTTTTCGAAGCACTTTCGGAAAACCTCGAGCAATCTGTCCGACAAGGACAAGGAGAAGCAAAAGGACGATGCCCTGTCGCGCTGGCTGCGGGACGGCACTGTCGTCTACAAGAGCGTGGGCGTAGGCTTGATGGATCTGGTGGTAGGGACAAAGCTGGTTGAGGTTGCCCAGCAGAAGAACTTTGGCACGCAGATCGAGGGCTTTTGAATTAGATGGTTATGAAGCGGTGTAGATGTGTCGGCACTTAATAGCATTCAAAATTTCCAAACTCGAATAAAAGCATGTACTGTTAGAACTCAGGTTTCCACGAGATGCGGACTACAAAGGGATTTTTTTTTTTTTTTTTTTTTTTAATAACATCAGGTATTCAATATTTCTATGCTAGATTGTTCTCTGCATTTTACGAGAACATAAACAAGAGACTCGTTTTCTATTCATACACATTCATCCCATATATACTCGCACCTATTGATTCATCGTCCATTTTACTCGGCAACCCAGACGGCGCTCATGCCCATACCAGTGCCAATGCACATGGACGTGTTGCCCACCTTCTTTCCCGTCCTCTTAAGCTCATACAGCAGTGTAGAAACCTGGCGAGCACCAGTGCAGCCCAGGGGGTGGCCAAAGGCAATGGCACCGCCCTTGGGGTTGATCTTCTCGTGGGGAATGCCCAGCTGGTTGGCGCACCACAGGCACTGGCTGGCAAACGCCTCATTGATCTCGAAGATGTCGACGTCGTCCTTGGAGATGCCGGCCTTTTGCAGGGCCTTGGGGATGGCCTTCCACGGGCCCTGGCCCATGAGCAGGGGCGCGACACCGACGACGGCGCCGGCGACGTACTTGCCGAGGATGGTCTGGCCGAGCTTCTCGGCGGTCGAGCGGCGCATGAGCAGCACGGCGGCGGCGCCGTCGGAGACCTGGCTGGCGTTTCCGGCGTGGATGGAACCGTTCTTGGCAAAGGCAGGGCGGATCTTGCCGAGGGACTCGGCGGTGATGCCGTCGCGGACGCCGTCGTCGCGGTCGACGACGACCTCCTTCCACTCCTCCGTCTTGGGGTCCTGGACGCGGACCTTGAGGGGGACGATCTCGTCGTTGAAGAGGCCCTCCTTCTGGGCCTTGATGGCCTTTTGGTATGAGGCGGCGGCGAAGGCATCCTGGGTCTCACGGGTGATGCCGAGATCCACGGCCATGGCCTCGGAGAGAACGCCCATGGGGACCTTGCAGTTGGCAGCCTCCTTGACCTTGAGGAAGTCTTCGGAGAGTTCGGACACGGCGTTGGGGCTGTTTAAGGTCAGTTTCGGCCACCACTAGCACCGGCAGCATCTTCTCTACTCACCCGTAGTTCAAAGTCATGCTCTCCACGCCGGCACCAATACCGATATCGATCATGCCAGTCTGGATCTGGTTCGCGACATCGACGCAGGCCTGCAGGCCAGAAGAGCACTGTCTGTTAACCGCACGCACGGCCGTCTCCTCTGTGAAGCCGGCGACAAACGCGGCGGCGCGGAACTCAGTGGCACCGGCGCCCGGCGCAAGCACGTTGCCGACGGCGATGTCCTCGACGAGCGCGGGGTTGATCTTGGAGCGTTCGATGATGGCCTTTAGGACACCGGCGAGAATGTCGCCAGCGGGGGTGTCCTTGAAGCCACCCTTGCCGCCCTTGGTGAAGGCGCTACGGCAGGCGGCAGTGACGACGACCTAGGTTGAAGATGCGGATGAGTATTTGTTGTTTTGTAGAGACCATCTCGACAGGCGAGGGGGGAGACAAAGGGAGGATTCTAGAGGTTGGAGCGTACATCGTCGGGGCGCTTCTCGAGGATCCTCTCGCGACCACCGGCGGTAGGGTTGCCGGAGATCTGGCCTCCAATCTGGGAAATTCTGTCGGCGGCTGTTGCAGAAGAGAAAGAGCGTTAGAAATCAGAAGTTGAGCTGGACCAAGGGTGTTGACTTGATTGTCCTGTGATGGGATTACTTACCGCCCATTTTGTGAAGATATGTGAAAAGATGGGAGATGAAGAATGGATGGATGGATGAGATGGGATGGGAGGAAAGATGGCAGAGATGATATGAAAGATCTAAAAGAAAAAGAAGAAGAGGGAGAAGAAGATAAGAAGTGACAATGTGCACGGAGGATTATTATAATCAATCCGGCTGACCTCGGATGTTTTTCACCCTTCCAAATCCCCCAAACAGGTGGCACAAACGCTGACCAGCTCCAAGTCGGCCGAGGCATCTCCAATCGCCCAAAATTGCTAGCGCCCGCCCGCATTCGCCTTAGCGCCTTTCACATGCCGATGGGGCCCTTTTGGCTTTTGGGGGTTCCCCAGCTTTTCGCTTTTCTTTGCTCCAAAACTTGTTGCCGCTTCTTGTCATGGTCAATGGTCATGGGGCGTGTTGTGGGTTGAGTAATCAAGTCAATCAGATGGGTGTTTATTCGCCTTCACCTTGACTGAGTCGAGCATTATGGAGCCCGGAGTACATGTGCCTGGACAGTAGGGTTTTCGGCATCCCTTCATTGCACATGACGGGCAGAAGCTGACGGTACATGATGTTGGCTGAGTTGGCTTCCATGTGAAAAAGCTGAAAATGGGCGTTTCCTAGTGGCAGCTAAATATACCATCCATCTCGTACCGTCTTACTGGGCCACTATTGTGCCGCATTGACGTTATCTAGCGGGTTCATCTCATCTGTCAATCTCACAGCTTCTCGCACGCTACCGAGGCTAGATTCAATCTCAGATCCAAATCTCCCAACATGTTCATGCATGCATAGTCTTGCCCATACGTGCAGTTGCCTTGATTCAAGTGATTTTCGTATTTCAATTCCACACGGGTTACTATTAACTTTGACTTACACCACCCATAACACCTTCATATGCCCATTATATATACATCGCCAGCCTGCCCCATCACATCACTCAGCCATTATGCCTTGGTATCCTTACTACTACCCTCAACCACCTTGTCTTCCGATGAAAACTTCAAGCTGATGCTGTTCACGCAATGGCGCTCATCCGTCGGCGTCGAGAATCCCTCTCCCTTGAAAACGTGGCCCAAGTGACCGCCGCAGTTGGAGCAGACAATTTCCGTCCTGATGGAACCAAAGCTTCGGTCCTCGTGTCGAGTCACTGCGCCAGGCACGCTGTCGAAATAGGCTGGCCAGCCGCAACCCGAGTTGAACTTGTGCGTGGCCTTGTAGAGCGGCGCATCGCACGCAGCGCAGGTGTAGACGCCGTCCTTGGGGTAGTGCTTGTCAAACTCTCCAGTGCCGGGGGCTTCAGTTCCCTTTTCTCTGAGAATTCGGAATTGTGCTACGAGATGTGTTAGTGACATGAAGTTGTAAATCGCAAAGCTGGGTGGGAAAAAAACGCACTTGGGTTGAGAATGGCGCGCCATTCGTCCTCAGTTCGCTGGTCGGGATAAGTCATGTTGGATGAGGGCTTAGATGATGAACCAAATAGGGCGCTCAGGAATGGAATGCTAGACATAGATTGCAGGCGAATAGGCCGCAGTGCGTGTTGTCGGATCTGATGCGGGGATTTAACACGAGCGAAAGTAGACAGGGAGAAGATGAATCGTGAGAATGCAGGCACAAAGCGCATGAAGGCGATGTTGTTGAGGGTGTTGATATAAACGGAGAGAAGCGACAACTCGATTGCCTTTATATGTGTTGATAAGAGATGTCGTCAGTGTGTGATTGGTTAATTGTATTTGGAAGATGTGTTATAGCCGCAACGAGGGTTTTGACAAATCTGTGTATAGCCGCAATTGATTCCATTGCATCATCCAAATCGAGGCCCGGAGGCCCCCACACACTGTATTATGCCATATTGAGCACTGGGAAAATCAGCGCTAAGACTTCGCAATTTGCGTCTGGAAGGCTTGCAAGGCTACCTGGCCCAATCAATTGGAATCCGTACTAATCAATGATGTTGTCACCTGTGCACTGATACCTGTTGTGGAATACAGTGCTAGCTCAAGTGTCACCAGGTTGGCATATTCCATATAAGTACCTGGGCAGGTGTCTTGATGTCTCATTGGGATTGAGTTGTCTGGGAGTCGTTTCAGCTCAGATATTCCATTGCTACTCTTGAAACACTATTGGGGATCATAAAGTCGCAGCACACCAAACTCAACCAGCCTTCTAATCAGCATCATGTGAATTATTTATTCCACCCATATGACTTCCATCATAATCCCTCTCTTACAACAAAGCTCTTCATACCAAACAGTATTAATGACGGCAACATTATGAAATCCGCCCAGCTACCACTCTCCTCCTCCAGGGTAGGCTGCACCCAATGCCACCGCTTTCCGAAGTGCTGCCGACAATGGGGCCTGTAGCGTGGCTCCAAGCTATTGATGTCTGATACAGGAGGCGGCTTTCGTGGGGTGCGGTCAACCTGCAACTTGGAATATCCGAAGTGGCCACACACGACACTTTGCTCCAGGCTGCCGCATTTCTCTCCTCTCTGCACAGCATAAGTACAAGGCAGCCGCCTCTCTAGCAATCCCGTCCATACACTATTCGATCAACTATATCCTTTCCTTTTGCGACACCTGATCCGCCATGTCGAGACGAGCCCCAAATCCCGGCGCCGAGCGGGCGGCGCAGAACCAGGCGACCATCAAGAGTCTCCTGAAGCTCGAACCCAACAAAGTCTGTGCCGATTGCAAGCGGAACAAGCGTACGTCGACCTGTCATGAACTAATCTTGCATTTTCAATCAATTCCGTCCAAAGAAAAACTAACGACAGTGTCGCTCGCTAGACCCCCGATGGGCCAGCTGGAACCTGGGCGTCTTTGTCTGCATTCGATGCTCCGGCATTCACCGTGGCATGGGCACCCACATCAGCAGAGTCAAGTCGGTCGACCTCGATTCATGGACGGATGAGCAGCTCCAGAGCGTGCTGAACTGGGGCAACGCGCGCGCCAACAAATACTGGGAAGCCAAGCTGGCGCCCGGCCACACGCCGTCCGAATCCAAGATCGAGAACTTTATCCGCACCAAGTACGAGCTCAAGCGATGGACAATGGACGGACCGATCCCAGACCCCTCTACCCTCGATGCCGCGGCCGACGACGACGTTCCCCTCAGCCTGGTCAAGGAGAAGCAGGTCGTTGAGAGGAACGAATCCATGAGGAAGGCCTCGAGTGGACAATCCCAGGCACCGCGAAGATCTCCTCTCCCGGCTCCTGCCGTGGGAGATCTCATCGGTGGCGATGACCCTGTGCCAGTGCGGGCGAATAGCGGACCTCCCGTTGGTAGAGTCACCCCCAAGGCCGATCCCGCCCCTCCTAAGACGACTGGCACCAAGGACTCATTGCTCGGCCTCGATTTCTTGGGTGAAGCCAGCGCACCGCCGCGGCCAGCGAGCACGCCAGGGGTCAGCAGCTCTGGAGGCCAGTCAAGACCTGACCTGAAACAGTCCATCTTGTCACTATATGCCTCTGCCCCTAAGCCGCAACCCCCGCAGCAGCAGTATCAACAGCAGCATGGATTTGGAGGCCCGACCTCTCCAACCATGAGCCACCACTCTCCCCAGGGCTCAATGGGCGGCTTCAACGACGCCTTTGGCAACTTGAACCTGGCAGCTGCCAAGCCAGCGCCAGTCGACCCCTTTGCGAGCTTCGGCACCAGGGCGGCAGCGTCTCAATCAAACAACAGCAATGCATTTGGCGGCCTGAGCGGGGGCAGCTTCTTCGACTCGAAGCCTGCGCAATCTCACCAGTCCAAGCCCTCCAACTCCAGCTCTGGATTTGGCGGATTCGGAGCCTTCTCAACGCCTGTCGCCGCTGCCCCGGCCGCCCCCAAGGCGTCGTCTGCCATGGATGATCTCTTCGATTTCTCCACGCCCGCCACCCAGCCGGTGTCTCCGCCAATCGCCCAACCGAGCGTCCCGGTGTCCAGCTCCGTCTTCAACCTCTCATCTCCCCAGAACAAGCCCGCTGCTCCCGTGCCTGCGCCTGCGGCTGCACCCGTGATTGGTGGGGCCAACATGTCGGGAGCTGATGTCTGGGGTGGGAATGAGTGGAGTAGTGCAACGACGGCCGCTCCGCTGGCCCAGAAGAGCCCTTCGCTGCCAAAGCCGGCTTCGACCAGCCTTGGATGGGAGGGAGCGTCGTCTTTCGCCAACACGCCGATTGTTCCCGGATCCAACGGCGGCTTCAACCCGGCTCCCAAGGTTGCCGCCGATGAAGAATTTGGCGGCTGGACGAGCAGCACCGGGCCGACCACCTCTGGCACGGCGGCTAAGGGAGGCTTCGGGGGCGACGAAGATTTGTTCTCTAACGTTTGGCAGTAATGTTGCTTCTCTCTATATTTTTATAATGACGAGCTGTGTACAGGACCGGGAGGGGAAGGAGGGGGTTTAATTACCCGGGCTGCACCATTGGGTAGGGCGGGCATGTTACTGGGCGTTTGTTATGCATGTTAGGAGTCTTGTAGATTGTAAAAAAAAGGAGGCATAGAGCTGCGTGGTCATGGCATTCCTCGTGCCTGTGGTGATGAATCTATCTGACCTGTTACGTCTTGAAGTATGATATAATTGATAATGTCTGTCCCCAATAATGTATTTATTGTTTTTAAGAGGGAAAAAATAGAAAAGAAAGCCAATGCTCATAAAAACTCCCCGTAGCACGCCAAGGGTATTGTCTTTGAAGTCCGACTGCACTTTGTATATCCTAAACGACAATTACCAAGAGAAAAAAAAAGCACCCCTTTCCGCAGCCTGGAACCTGTTTCAACGGGTATATCCGTTCTATTGCTATGTATGCCCCCATCCTCAAAAGATCCACTTGATGCCGTAGTAGAGCAGTAGAAACGCCCCGATGATGATGGCCGAGAGCTTTATTATCGCGACGTTGTTTCCTGACGCCGCCATTCGCGTTAATCTATTTGCGGAGCCTTTGACCTGGGAGGCCATGGATGTGAATGTATCGGTCTGGAGGAGAGAATCATGTCAGCCCTTGGTTCGTGGGGTTTTGAGTGAATACGGAGAGGGGCCTTCTTTTGCACGTACGGTGTTGTCGATGACGTCTTGGGCGCGGGCGTTATCGTAGATGTCGACGGTGACGCCGCGCAGGGCGGTGACCTTGGAGGAGAGCTCTTCCAGACGAGCGTTGTTCTGGCGCTCGCGCTCGTATGCCTCGGACATGGTGGGAGGTTTGCGTGGAGGGAGAGGGGGGTTCGGAGGTTTCGACGAGGATGTGAGCGTGTGCTCTCTGCTGAAGTTGCTTTCGTCTGCTTGGAGCGCTGGTGATGCCGCGGAAAGAATGTCTCGTCGGTATGAAGGGGCAGATGGCCTCGTTAGGGACAACCGGGAGAGTGAGGCTGGATGCGCCCGTCAAAGGGAAGCTGCTCTAACGGCGTGTGATTCTCGGAGTTGTCTCGAAGCTGCTATTGATTGCTTGGGGGCGCGGGCGCGGGCGCGAAAACGGAAAAGATTGCGGCGAGTTTGGGAAAACGAAATGGAAAGTCGGTTGATTGACGATGGCACCGAGGCTCAGATCAAGTTGGTGAAGGTGGATGGTTGATGATGGATGGATTGGACCTGAGCCAGAGCGCTGGGGAACTAGCGCTAGTTTCAGTGGCGGGTCCCCTGTGAGGTCCTGCGTTTCAGCGCACTTTTGGCCTTGGTGGGATTTCCAGGATTTAAAGCACGGGTCGCAGCATCTGCCGTTTTCGCCCTTCGCGGTCATAAGGGTTCGGCGCCGGAAAGGTTCAATGACATTCGCCCCCTGCAACGAGAGTTTCTCAAGCTGCCCATCAGTAAGCATTTTCCCAACATGTGGTATTAGTATTGGTCGCCATTTTTTAAACTGTTCAGCCGAGCTCTGGACGGAGTAGCCGCTCTTTGAAAACCACCCCAGGTTTTTCAGTAGTGGGATTTTAAGCACGGGTTCAATGCATGTTCGCACCGCCACGCGCGCCGCGCGGTCGGGGCAAATATTCAAGCTTGTGGGGCTCCGGGATTCCGGTCGTCTGGAGATGCGCTGTGCAGTGCTGTGATGGATGCTTACCGATTCGGGGGTTGTGTGATTTTGTGGTTGTCAGGGATTCGTAATGGTCCGGCTGGGTTACGTATGTATAACAGGAAGAGCGTCCAGCAGATGGATTGTTTGCTTGTTTGTGCTCCCTTTCCTCCGCTTTTGTCTCCCTCCTCTTGTTCCGTACATCAATCCCGAGGTGCTCGCTCATCTTGTGGCTGAGTCGACCCGACGACAATTGAAGAGTTGAACAATTGAACAACCGGCACTCTCACCCGCTCGCTGTAACCCGCCCGTACAGGCTCACTCCTTCAGGGCCTCCTAGCGCCTATACCGCATCAATCAGGCGCCGCAACTGCCTGCAAGCGCTATCGGATCCTCGAGTACCCCATACCACCACCTCGTGCCGAATCGACGCACCCCAACAGGTACACCCGACTTGTGCGCCCCTCTCCACCCCGCCCGGCTGCCTGCTAGCAACTGCTATTTCCATGGATGGATGGTGACCGTAATGGAGCGACTTCTGCTGACGCAACCACCTTCTTTCTAGGTAGGACCCGGTCTTTGCCTCTGTGTGGTTGTGCTTGATCTTATTTTATTCTATTTTTTTTTTATTTCCTCTCTTTTCTTCTCCGGCTTCCGCCTTCAACTGCAGCCTCTGCGACAACGGCCGCGCGCGGGCACACTCGGTCAAGATGGGCATCAACAATCCTCTCCCGGCCTCCATGGCATGTAAGTTAATTCGCGCGCCGACTCTACGTCATTAGCATCTTGCTGTACTGGCCTGTGGCGGCTTGTCCTTGTCGCCACGTTCCTGGTCAACAAGATGAAGATGGACACTCTGGCCAAGCTTGGAAGCTGACTCTCTTCTTCTTCTTCTCTCTCATAACAGCCGAATGCAAGAAATGCGGAAAGATCCTCTCGTCCTTCATCAACCCGCGGCAGGCCTTTGGCCCCGAAAAGGTGATTCCGCCCTCGATCCTGTCCAACGCAAAGGGCCTCGCCATCATCACCGTCTTCAAGGCCGGATTCCTCGGATCTGGTCGCTTCGGCAGTGGGCTCGTGGTCGCTCGATTGCCTGACGGGACCTGGAGCGCTCCCAGCGCTATTGGAACCCTTGGCGGCGGATTTGGCGGACAAATCGGCTTCGAGCTGACGGACTTTGTCTTCATCCTTAACGACACCTCGGCCGTCAAGACTTTTGCGCAGGCCGGCTCCATCACGCTGGGAGGCAACGTGTCATTGGCTGCGGGCCCTGTCGGCCGCAATGCCGAGGCCGCCGGCGCAGCTTCGCTCAAGAGTGTGTCGGGCATTTTCAGCTACTCCAAGACCAAGGGTCTGTTCGCCGGTGTCTCGCTCGAGGGATCGGCCATCATTGAGCGTCGTGATGCCAATGAGAAGCTCTACGGCACGCGCTACACGGCGCAGCAGCTGCTTACCGGGACTGTACCGCCTCCGCCGCAGGCCGCGCCCCTCATGAACATTCTCAATTCGAGAGTTTTTAGTGGCATGAGGCTCGGGTCTTCCGACGACACCATGTACAACGATGTGCCCGTATACGACGACAACCATGACGATGTCGTGTGGGAGGGCCGACAGGGAACCGCGTATGGTGAAGGCCAGCAGAACCCCCGCTCAAGGTCAAACACCTGGCAGGACGACGTGTACGATAGGCCGAACCACAACGCGCCCTCGCGCTCAAACACGTTTGCGAGCAGGGGATTCGATGACGACTATAGGTTCCAAGACAGACCTCCCGAGAAAAAGGTTGGGCCTGGCCGTCCCACCGCGCCCAAGCCTGTTTTTGGAGCCAAGCAGGCTACATTGAAATCGAACGAGGCCGTGGCACTGTTCAACTTTGACGCAGATCAGCCCGGTGATCTGGGCTTCAAGAAGGGAGATGTCATTACGATATTAAAGAAGACAGATAGCGATAACGACTGGTGGTAAGTATCGACATGTTTCTGAGTGGATATGGCACAAGTTTAACGCTATAATCTCTAGGACTGGCCAAATCGGAACGAGGCACGGCATTTTCCCCAGTAACTACGTCAAGATGAAGGAGTGATGAGATGGACCCGATACCTGTGATACCACAAAGACTGCTGCTTTCTTTTTGTTCTTCTTTTCTTCTCCGTTATACTTTTTATTTTTTTATTTTCTTGGAAAAAGGGCTCCAATTGGAAGGATACCAACTTGTTTTAACACGTTATATCTCCTTGGGTTGAATTGATCGTTTCATTCCATCTTTTCTCTTCGCGCTGTTCCTTTGGGATGTATGAAGAGTTTATTTTTCTCCTTTGTCCTTTTCTGATGGATAGCCGTGTTTTTTTGGTGTTGCTTAGCAGGGGGGAAGAGTTTTATGGTGATCGACAGGCGTAGGGGTTAAGAGAAAGATTTTTTTGAGAAAGAATGCCAGTTTCAAAGTTGACAAATCTGCAAGACGATATTGCCGAACCAATTATTTGCTTGCATGTCTTATGGCGGTGATGAATTGTATCTTCTCATGTGATTTTACTGTTAACACGGTGGTCACCAAGTCACTTTATATCAGATGCGGCATTCATGCATCAAATAACAAATATCTGTGCTTCTTCCCTTCTGTAGCTCTACAACACTATCCTGGTTCACTCAATCTGGACTTCTGATGTGAGGTTGTCCATGCCATGTCGTCGGCCATGAACGATGTTCATCACCGTCGGCAAAGTCGGATCTTTTGACTCCGAAGATTTGCGCACACATTTCTTCAAATTCAACCGAAGTCCAGAAATTTCGAGAAGTAACTCTTCGTGTGTCTTAGTTGAAATGCCCTCCCATGTTTCCCCCCATTTCCCCTTGAGCTCCATGACTTCAGGAGTTTGTTCCGCCTTATTAAGTGCCTTAGCCTGCGCTCTAGTGACGTGGCTCTTTTCACAGATGAAGCTCCTAATAACTTGTCTCTCTTCAGTGTAGGCCACTTCGTAGACAACCACTTTGTTATCTTTGATTGGGAAATAGCCTCCCATGCAGATTTCGGGGGTCAAATTGAAAGTTTCAAGCTCGTCTTGTTGAAGTAATGGTTCGACCCAGTCAGCGAAGATGAGGGAGTCAAGCTTGCCAACCTTGGGAGATGAGTCGAGAATGGGGGGTAGCCGCCTCGAGACTCGAAGATACAGATTCTTGATCCTGAACATGTTTATGAGAATAGAAGATGTTGTTTTTTTGCTGGCTTCTGTTGATAGTCCCAAGTATTGGTGATGAAAGACAGAAATTGGGTTTATTCAACAGAGCAGAGGCGATTTTTATAGATACTCAGAGAACAGGCATCCATCTATGAGCAAATAAGTATTTTTGAGCATGTTTGAACCTCTTTGTTCTATAATTAGATAGGGACAAAGAACGGTTTGCGGATAAAGAGAACAAAGGATTCTTGAATGACAACGTTGGCCAATCATTTACTTGTTCGTATACGTTACGCGTCCCTTGCCATTGGAATTTACTGTTGACACGTTAACAAACAAGCCAGTTTACACTTGATGCAGCACTCATAAAAGCAAAAACGGTATATTTCTCTCTAGCTACCTATCGCCACTACCTCCACATCCTGCTATTCTCTCTAGCTACTCCCCACTGCATCTACATCCTGCTGCGTTCAATGCAATTGAACCTCTCAAGGGAGCTCACCTACCTCGCCCCAGACCTTCCATCGGCCTCCTTCATTCTCCAGGGCCATTGTAGCATGCCATTGAAGACGAGCCATGGACATGTTGACCTCGCCTAAAGCCGCCAAAACGCCCTCGGATGTCACCGGTGCCCTTCTCGCAACGGTCGCGACATAGACAGGAAGTCCGAGGTTTCCCAGCTGAGTGGCCCAGTCCTCTTCCTCGAGTGTTGCAATCACCTTCCATGTCTCGTTCCATCTCTTGGCAGCATCAATGTACTGGGGGGCGAAGTCATTCATGCGATCGAACATGCCGTGAGTATTCTTCTTGATCTGTGACAGGTCATCATGGAACCACTTCCAGATGACCATTTCGGTTTCCCCGTAATAGGCAATTTCGAGGACGCAGAACCTACCCTCTTCTCTCGTCTGATAGATTTGTCTGAACCTCTGTTTGGTCTTGGATTCGTCATGCCAATTGGGACAAATGCCGGACATTGCTCCGTAGAGGAGAAAAGAGGTCTGGCCACCGCTTTTGAGACTCCATTCGCACTGGTTGGGTGCCGACATTCTTGGTGTGGCTGAGTGTTTTGAGTCCTTGATGAGTGTTTGAGTCCTTGCTGAGTGTTTCGAGTCCTTGCTGAGTGTTTGAGTCTTTGCTGAGTGTGTCGATGGTGTTGAGTGAGATTGACGAATTTGTTTACCGGAGAAGATGCGGTTTATATAGATAATCAGAGAACAACTACTTTTCTATTAGTAGATGAACATCTTGAGACTTCATTGAGCACATATGGATGAACATCTTGAGACTTCATTGAGCACATATGGATGAACATCTTGAGACTTCATTGAGCACATATGGATGAACGTTTTGAGACTTCATTGAGCACATGGAGATGAACGTCTTGAGGCCTCCATTGAGCATATGGAGATGAAAATTCTATATGCGGATCAGGAGAACAAAGGATATCCTGAACGCTGTGCCACCACAAAAAGCTTCACCTATGATCTTAACTTCACTCATGCCGCATCATCAACTCGTACACACCACTTCAGCCGCTGCCTGAGAGGGGGTGATCTGGATACGTCCTACTTTCGTTGAACTACACTCAGTATGTCCTGTGTCCGCAATCGTGTATTTTCCCGCAGCACCCTGGGAGTAGCCACAGTGGTGCCTCTTCCATTGGATGATCTTTCGGTTTCTTGTTTACTGCATTCACTTCGCCACCTTTGCAAGACAATTTAGGTCTCAAGACAATGGAATTTGACATTTTTTACGTGTATAAGAAGAGAAAGTAAGTTGACATTTGACAGAGCGTTCATATTAAGATCAACAATATATTTCTCTCCGCAATAGCTTACAACATCCTCCACGCTCAAGGGCTGCTGGTACCTAGTTGGTATAAACACGCCCTATAGCTCTATAATCTGTGGTATCCTCGAGATATACCACACGCAACTCGATACCTCTCTCTTCATTTTTTTCGGTGGTTATCTCCTTAGCCTTAAGCCCCATGCCTGTTATCTTATTTATCGCAGCCCCCAGTTCCCCCTTTTGAGCATTTGCAATCTCGACCCATGTGTCCTGCCATTTACAGTAGAGTCGTTGGGATTCCATACTGGGCGTGTTCACCTTTTTCAGTGTGGTCAACTCAGTGCCCGAGAACTCATCCACGTCAAGGGACCAGATCCAGAGAATCTGTTTCTTTTGAGAGTGGAACACTTCGATGACTTGGATTTCTTGCTTCTTTGGGTGGTCTTTCTTTCTCACTAGATTGTTGGCTCTGTAGAAGGCCCCGGATCCTATTTCGTACTCGGCAAGGTAATTTTCGATCCCTATCCCCTCGAAAAGATCGGTAACCATGAGGAAATCGGAGGCGCCAAAGCTATAAGTATCGTGTTCCAGGATCTCTCTATTCGACAACAACATTTTGTTTATTCACACGGATACGTGAGATTTTGTTATATTCGCGAATAATGTTCAGAGTAATCGATGACGAGCTTCATTATGCTAATAACCTGGGGGGCAACTGAAGCTTATATATGTGGATAAATAGCAAGCAGCTATATGCTAATCAATCGATAAGCGTCTTTGAACAAAGCAGGTTAAACAGCAATATTTGCTTTATGATAACAAAGGATGCCTTCAAGGCGTACGAGGGCTTAACACTTGGCCAAAAATCTTAGGTTTGCCGGTGTCGTGTCGCATTATTATCTCATCCACGCCGCCTTGGCCTCCTAAGGACGCGTAATCTTGGTATCTTATACTGTTATGAAAGTAAAATCTCTGTCCGACGTCTGGAAGGACTTATCCTATAATATATCCATAGTAGCCTTAATATCAGTCTCGTTAGCCAATTGTCTTATCCCATGCCCCATTCCCCATTCCTCTACCTCCAGCCCCCCAAGCGTCTTCCATAGAGGCCCAATTTCTGTGAACATCTCAGAAAACATCACTATAGACAAAATTGCCTATTGGGGAAAACAAAGATTTCTCGGGGGCTTTACGGGCATCTAAGAGCTGGCCGGTGCTTATGGTTTAGCAGTTGAGAGACTCTTTTCATCCCAAGTCGGCTTTTCAGTAACCAAAATACATCGTGAGCAGGTCCAAGTAACTCAGGCAAAGATTTCTTATTCCACTCTACAGAAACCGCTGAAAGATACGGAAACACGTACTATAATGGCGTCACCTGGTGAGTGAGTAGAATGGGGGGAAAACCGAGCTTTGTTTTATACCAATGAGGAGCAAGCCAGTTTACACTTGAAACAGGGCTCATACAAGCAATAGCCATATATTTTTCTTCGTGATAGCCTACGACATCTGCCAAACCAACGTCTTGCTAATTGGAATACAAATTCCAAATCCCATGACTACATGTACTTAACGTGTCTACCTGTCCGATGTGCATCTCGTGCCTATTTTTTGACAGATACCACAGCAAAATGGATGCTCTCACCTGTCTCATGCTCATGATCTGTGTCCAATACTTCAACGTCAAGCCCTAGGTCCGGTATCTCGTTCAACGTGGCCTGGAATTCCTCCTTTGGCTTGAAATTTGGGTTCAAAACTTCACCTTGAGCCGTTCTCTCGACTACCATTCTCACGAATGCGATCTTCTTCCATTTCACTTCCTAATTCACAAGCAATAGTGTAGTTTGATCGTTTATGGTTATGTGGTTAACGTACCCCAATCCATTGCCATCGAACTTATCCACGTGACGAAATCAGATCCGGAGAATCTGTTTGTGTGGAGTATCGAACACTTCGAAGACACTGACCATATTTTTCTTCTTGAAGTTGTTGCCTCTGTAGAGGGTTCCGGGTCTCACTTCACTCACGGGCTGGGATATTTAAAGTGCAACGAGGAGGTCCGCAATGAAGAGGGAGCCGCAGGCGCCAAAGTTATAAGAATCGTTTATATCCACCATTTTGTATGCGTCTATGAATGCCCGAATTTTTCTCGTATGTGTAGATGGTGTTTAGAGTATTTGATGATGAGCTTCATTATACTAATAACCCACCACGTAACTGAAGTTAAAATAGGTACACAGCAAACAGCTGCATGTCTGTCTGTGAATATGAGAACATTTTTGAACTCATGACGGATGAAAAAGCTGCCAGATCGAGAAAAAGGATGTCTTGAACAGTGTGCGAGTGTCAAAGAATTGATCAATGTTCACGAGAGTGGCAATTGGGGGGCTCTTGTCATCCCCGAGTCCACCTTTTAGCAACAATAGTGTATCGAGTGAACAGGTACAAACACCCAGACAAAGAAACACTGCGTACTACATTATGGAGAACAAGTTTTCAAAGAGAGAGAGAGACATGTGCTACGACTGTGCGGCCTGGTGAGTGAGTACAATGAAGGAACAAAGCTTTCGTTTTATTTTGGAGCAGTGAATGACTTCTGAATCGCAGTTACTGTGATACAGGCTGGTAAAATGACAAAGAAACAAAGTCTTCTTCATATAAGTGTGGTATACAAGAGAGAAATTAGAAGAAGACAAAGGTTTCTTTGATGCAGGCCTCGTAAACGCCTCACTTAGCAGATTATATGCGATATCACGACAGCGTCACTTGTATCACAGTTTTAGCAGAGCACATTTATGTGTAAATAGAATCTATTGATAACGAATGTCATGACTATCTCTCGATCCTCGGGATCAATCATGCATAGGGCTTCCATAACACGAAACAAACCTCTCTGAAGCCAGTGGTACGTCCATGAGCGTTAGAATGAAGTGGCGTCCTTCGTGGGATTCACCTGTCTCTCAACGGCGTAGTTGAATCGCTCATGCACCTTCACCTGCCACGCCTTCATCTCCTGGGTATCTTCCAGAGACGTGACACGAGAACGTCCTTGGAAAAACTGCTCATCAGTGCGTGCCATGTGCATGTGGACAAGCTTAGATACGTCATCTCCAGTGCAGTTAAATTTGTCGTCTTCTGCAACGAATTCTCCAGACAGAGCAACGCGGCCATCTGGTGAAGTGTGGAAATCTGTCTTCGGTCGGCTGAAACTCCAGACAAAGAAGTGATGGTGTTCGTCGCCAGCAATTTCCAAGATTTTGATGTCCGGCTTGTCCTTCTCATCTTGGATATACCTGAAAAGGATTGACTTGGTCATGTCGAAGTCTTTCATGTACTCCGGCGAGGGGTCAAGAGCCAGAAGGCTGTCGACTTTGGCGGAAGAATGGAAGGGGAGCATTATTGCTGATTGGCTGCTGTATGATATCGCAACAGTGTGTTAGACGCAGCGTGGACTTGCTTGTTGGGATTGGGGGTAGGAGATATGAAGATGAAGTCTTTGACGACGAAAGTGCCAGATTAAATAAGTAGCCGGCATCAACCGTGTTCATATAACACCTAAAATGTTCATATAACACCCACCATGTTCATATACTTGACAGCGACTTTCCGGTCGAGATAAAAAGACGGTTTCTTTTGAAAGAATTCCGTTTCAAATAATCTGTTTAGTTCAAGCTGTTGCGGGACCGGTTGAACGAATGGTCTCGGATTGCATCTTGAACAAACACCACACTTGGCCCATATCTTGAACTAAAATAGAAAGATATAATTATTCACATGGCCGTTTTGTAGGGATACAGTCAAATACGCAACTCATATTCATTACCCATGCCCATACACGCCCCTAATCCGAGTTGCTGAGCAATCCAATCAATCGCGTCCCACAGAGCTACCATCAGCGATCGCCTTTTATCCTCCCGATACCATGCCTTCCCGTTCAAAAGGTTGCATTCCAAACCAGTGACAATAAAGCCGTTTCCTCCACGCTTGTCACACTCATACAGCTGTAGATCGCTCAGAAATACGACGAGTGGTTCAAAAGCTTCATCCAAAATGTTAAGAAGATGTAATCCAGATAAAACGACGTGGCCTTCGGGGGAAGCCGGAAAATCTGCTTTTAATCGATCATAACACCATACAAACTGGTTATCATGACGGCAAGCAACTTCGAAGATACTGATGATTGAGTTGTCCTTATCGTAGTCATTGATAAACCGGAGAAAAGTTGCATTCTTATATTTCGATGGATCTTCAGGAGCCAAAAGACTGTCAACTTTGGCGTCTGGATACAAGGAAGAGAGCAACGGTGCCATTTGGATTGTGCAATAACATCACAACTGTGCTTTTTCAAAAGATGTGTATGAAGCTCATTGAATGAGAACGAACCGTCAGGAGCTGCCGGTGCAGTGATCGGATTATATATATATACATGATGGAGTAAAGGCCAGCGATATTCTCGCACCAGAAGACAACTTCCAGATTGGGACAATGGAGGCTGTAATGCAGACTGTACGGGCGCTTAAGAGTTGTCCAATGCTCTCAAGTGCCGGTTGGTAGGCTCTCCTCGTCCCAAATTGGTCTTTCATCAAACAACAAAGTGTCAGGTGGGCGGATCCGAGCACAGTCTCGTCGAACCTCATCGAAGCCCAAAGAAGGCAACAAGATGAGCTGGTAAGTAGAGTGAGGATGAAATGCCAATTTCTTATCCTCTAATGTAGGCGATTACTTTGAGGGGCGAATACTGAGCAATTGTTATGACAGCATCGCATATTATCGATTAAACAGCACATATTGTATGTTAAATTTGACACGACCTGAGTATGAAGCTGAATATGTGTGACGGTATCAACAGGGGTAAGTATCTTCTATTCCTAATAATTGAGCAATGTGTTTATCACAACTCTGCTTCTAAGCCGAGCTCGACATACCGCCGTATTCTCGGGAACATTCCTTCCTTATGCCAAGCCCTAATGCCATCAGGGGTACCTTCAATCTCAGTATAACTATCGGATTCCTCATAATGTTTTGTTATGCGATTGATTGAGTCTTCAGCCTTGGGCGTATAAATACAGGTACCAGTGAGATTGAGGCGGCCGTCAGACGATGTTTGAAAGCGCCACTTGGGCATAGTAAAGACCCAGATGAAGACGCCGTCTCCGCAAGTGGCCCGTTCCAAGAAATGGACTTTCGAGGGGTCTTTATCTGATAACATGAAGATTCGAAATAGTTTGGCGTCCCATAACTCGCTCTTGAGATAGTCGTCGAAGGGATCCTCGTATCTTTCGACTATCCGGTCTCTCACTGGTTCCCCGAAAAGATCAAGGAGATCAGAAGGATCAAAAACTTGCATTTTGTTGGGTAGGTAAATTATGATGAATCAAGGTGGCGGTGGTGGTGTGTGAGTATTTCGTATGTTTCTGTACCTTTAGAGCTGCGAATGAAGAAAGCATAGAGTACAAACTCTAATGAATTTCCACGACTTTTATAGATGGCCAGGAGACTAAGCGATTGCAGCCCAGATCAATATATCATAAGATAGCTTCCGGAAGAAGCTACTTCATACATCATGAAACGGAGCCTAGAGGGTCAAGCAAGCATGTCATCTACTATGATTGGGTAAGTAAGGTTAGAATAACGCTCGGGTCGTCTCGCACAGACGTCTCAAGATGAATAGACAGACATCAGACAAAGAGGAGACACTGGGCTTCACATCACTCGCCATTATTTCTTTCAATCAGTTTGTTTCAATTGAGTGGGCCAAAAACAAAAACAAAACAAGTACTCTTTCGTATACTAATCCCAAAGGCAAAGGGTAGTCTGACTATACCCACAACAACACCGGACAAAGACTCTGAAAGACCCCTTCTCGTTTGACCCCAGCCGTTACGTTTCACTCCCCATCTTCACTTTGACTTCTGCCTTGATTTCAAACTCCATACTATCGTCAAACTCAGTCTTGATGTCGACCTCCGTCTTGACATTGGCCCCCGCCTCGATTTTGACCCATGGCATATCCGCACACTTTTCCCCGTACCACGCCAATGTGTCGTAAGGCCCTTTCCCAAAGTTTAAAATAGTGGCACGATTATTCCCAATGGCTCCATTGCAGCCTAGGCACTCATCCAATTCACCAAGGACGATATGAAATACATTATTCAAGTTCGTTTCAGGCAGACAAGACCGTTCCGTACGAGCCTCGGGCCACTCCTGTCGCTCTGTACCTACGATGGTCTTCATCCACGCGAAATAGCAGTCTTCGAACCAAGCTACTTCGATAATTTGGGGCCATGGGCCTGCAATACCGTAGTTTTCTGTCAGGACTGTCGGCTCAAAGGAAGAGTGAAAGAGTCAAGGATGACAGCGCACAGTCACTATCACGGACCACGCAGCTAGGGTTACACAAAGGACTGTATTTATCTCTGACCTTCCTAGAACAAAGGGCCTGGGGCTCCTTCTCTTTATACTCGTTCAGTCCCCCAGCCAACTAGTGTATTAGCTGGGAACTCAGACACCTTTATCCGGCCTCAACGGGAAGATTCCTTCCTTTGTAACTTGACCTCTGACATTTTCGAGCCTGAAGAAATGCGCCTTAGATTGGTCATAGGTCCACATGTAGTCGGGAATTCTATCTCTGAGTGCAACTAGAGAGTCGACGTGAAACACTATTTGGTCCATTGTTGCTCTTGTGGGAAGGTGACGGATGATTCTGGTTCGTTTACATGTGGGCTCGAAGATTTCGGATGAAGAAGCGACTGCAGCGTGATTAAGCTCCTTGGAAGCAGTGGGTGAGAGGCTTTCTATAGAAATCGGACAAGTCACTAAGGAGGAACATCGTATGTAGAAAGCAGCATCCAGAATAAAACAACAAACAAGCTTTCATGCAGATGGAACGAAGATGAAGAACATGGTGTGATCGTGCCCTCGTTTGAATGGACGATTTGTTCAGACATGATTGCACGACAGGAAGACAAATCCTTCACAAGTAGACAAAGAGAAAAAGGGCCTTGTTAGTCCAATTGAACAGCGTTGTGCACTCTGACATGTCACCTGTAGCCGCCAATCAACCTCTATTCAATACTTCGTTTGTGTCTAACTGGTTTGCTTCAATTCGTTCAACCAAAAATCTATTCGTGCCGCGTCAATCTGCCCCAAGTAAAATTGGGCGCACGCGGCACTATCACATCCTCGACCGACATCTGCAGTGTACTGATCCAGAAGCCTCGATGTTACTTTATTCAGCCTCTCCAGCAACCCGTTATCAGCCACAAACATAGAGGGCGATTCATCTATTTCACTAGAGGAATGACATATTGTTGGCATCTTAGTTTGAGTATCTGTTGGTTGAGGCGGTGTCGGTTGCACATTGGTTTGGAATACACTTGGCCTATCCATTTCTGCATCCGAGGATAAAGTTTCCTCTCTTTGTAGTATATTCGAATCGCTCTTACATCGGCCCTGCTCCATGTGTGCTCGTTTCAGCGCAGACTCTGATCTGGGCGTCGTGCTTTCTCTGTCCCTTGCAAAAGGCAACTTGCGGGCCCGAGGCATCAATGCGCGAAAATTTTGTGTAGATTGCAACGTGTACGAGACATTGGCTTCATCTGTGGTTTGAGAGTCCTCCGCTGTGGAAGCAACAGTGTCTTGGCTTGCTTGCGGGGTCTCTTGGGAGCATCCTGAGTCGTAGTCACTCATGTCCATGCATATGGGCTGCCGCCAGGGATGCGATGATGAATTCGGATCGGATACAGATCGGTCACTCAGCAAAGAACCTGTATTTTTAACATTCGAAAAGACGCTAGATTGACTACTCGGTAGAGAAGACATGGGGGATATATCTTGGCTGTTAACGTCGACGGCGTTTCGCAGCGGAGAGCTCACTCGCGGCTGATGCACATTGCCGTGGTGGCTGAGATACGGTTGATAAGGATTCTGGTAGACAACGTGAGTGTTCTTTGGCATCATCTGGCATATTGATTGCTGCGATAAGTCATATGACGGAGATTGAAGAGGTTGATATTGTGCATCTGTTGACTGCAGCTGTGTAAGCGGGACGTCTGAATTAAGCATTGAAAGAAAGGAGAATTGCGATTGTGTTGGCGAGCTTCCATGTCTATCTAATGGAGTGATTGAGCTCAATCGCGGTGCAAAATCGTTTGGCGAAGGTGTTGGATATGACTGAGAGCGAGCTAGACTTGTAGCGGCAGTGTGAGGCGGGCCAGATATGCCGTCTTTGACCCGGAACCCGAATTTCTTTAGGGCGTAAATGACGACATGGAGGTCTCGGGTCTCCTTAAAGGTAAATAAAATGGTTTGCTGCTTTTGATGAATTTGAATGCACATCCGGTGGGAGGGCCTGTCGACCGTGATAGTCTCTAGTATGTTGCTGGATGATGTGATGAGTTCGGTAAGCTGGATGGATAGCTATCGTTGCTGTTAGATTCGCGCCAGACCGGTGGATGAGATAACAGGGATCAAGCAAAAACATACCACACGCTGTAGCCCCAAGTGCGATTGAAGCATCATGTCATTTGCGTCTCCGGTGATGGCCCGTCGTGCTTCCAGGGTAGCAGTCAAGCAGCTCTCCAGCTGGGTAGCATCGTAAACAGTGGAAGTGGATCCATCGTGGATCTCCAATCGCCGCAGAGAGCAGCCAGACAGCGGAGTTGGTGCGAGGGGCATGATTTGAGGTGGTCTTTGATATGAGAGGTTGGTTTTTTGAAGAGCTTCCAAAGAAGGGATATGAAGAGGAAAGCAGAAGACAAAAACAGAGCAGAAGACAAAAGAAAAGAAAAGAAACAATCATCAGTCATCAGTCATCAGTCATCAGTTCAACGCGGGAAGAAAAGCAAATGCTCGCTCGGTTGATGCAGCAAGGCCGTTAGTTGCTTGATCTAAGATGCAGGCACCGCGGGAAGGGAGCTACCATGGCAAAACTCCGATTGGCCCGTGGGCGGTGGGCGCATCTCACGTGCAGATAAGATTGCCCGTGCGCCAGTCGATTTTCGTCGCGCCGCGCCAAACCCACGAATAGCCCGAGCCTTGTTTGACCACGCGAGGCGACACTTGCCGACGACGATTTCTCCCCTCTTGTCGCCAGAGCTGCGAAGGACGATCTGGAGGATTTGGAGAGACGGATCCGAGATTCGACCGAGGTGCCGCCTTTGATTCGCCAGACACGATACGGCGCAATTTCGACCCAAACCCGCCGACATTGACAAACGCGCAGGGCAGAGCTGCTACATCGCTTGGCCAGCAGCCCTGGGTCGGCATCGCTCAATTCGACACGCAGCTTCGGCATCGGGTTTTATAGACTTAGCACGGCATAAGAGAGCTTCGAACATCATCCGTCAAAATGACTTCTTCCCCTCAGGAGGTGCCCTTGCACGCCATAGAGAGGACTCCCGAATATGAAGACTTCATGAACAAGCTGAGAGACTACCATGCGAAGCGAGGCACGACGCTGGATCCGGAACCCAAGGTTGGCATGATCCACCTGGACCTGTACAAGGTCTTCAACCACATTGTCGCCAGCGGTGGATATGATAAAGTTTCGGAGGAGAAATTGGCATGGCGGCGCATGGCAGCTGAGCTTGGCCTTCATTCGAATAACGAGGCATCGACGGCCTTTGCTCTCAAGGAAAAGTTTTACAAGAACCTCGCCGCATACGAAATCAGCACAGTCCATGGCAAGGAGCCGCCGCCCAAAGACATTCTGGAAGACGTCACAGCCAAAGGCGCAAGTCTGTTGACGCGCACGAGAGAAAACTTTCGCGGCAAGCGGGAAAGCAACGTCGGAGCCACGGATAGCGCTGCGTCTGGCGATGACGGCACTCCAACCCAAGAACGACCAGCGCCAGACCCTGCCGCAAGTGCTCGAGCTTCTCGCGGTCTTCGTGAGGCTCCTCCTCAACGGGTCATCTTCCAGCCCGATACAGGCCCGTCCCGAACCACAAGACAGGCGTCCAACCAGCAGGCAGGCAACTCGGCCTCGCCAGCGGTAAACCACGTGCATCAAAACGCTCCTCATCACCAAGCTGCCCATCCGATGCCACTGATGGCGATCCATAACAACTCACGGGGGCCTTCTATCCTACACCACCCTCCAAACTCCGAAAACACATCACATTTGGTAACCTCCTACCAACCGAAGCCGATGAAGCCGCTCCAGCTGCGTCCCGTGGCAACCCCGAGCAACACCCCGAGCGAGTTCTTTAAAGCTAAACTACCGCATCGATTTGCGCTCGATCCTGCCAACAGACAGCCCATGCAACCCGGCAGTAAGTTTGACAAAGCCGTGTTTTCCCCTGAGAGATGTTGTGCTAACGCGTTTGGATTTGAAGCTGGTTTTGATGGCCCCAACATTTATACCCGATGCCTAAATGCTCTCCGCTCTTGCGTCCCCGCGGAGCAGGCTTTTGCGCTCAATCACCTGGTGAAGATATCGTTTGAACGAGGTGATAAGTACAAATTCGACTCTTTCCCGGGATTGGCCGAAGGCCTTGTGGAGAAGGCGCTGCAGATTGGCAACCTCTTCTACCATGTCAATTGGACGATTTCCTGGGATTCTTTCGCCGAGTCAAACGATATTGGCTGCCTAGATGGCAATTACGGCACACAAGATATCCTAGAACGAATCTCAAACTCGGTTGAGCGAGACATACCGGATGTCATCCAAACCGAAAAGTTTGCCGATGAAATGGTGTTGACAACCGAGGCCATTCTCACTATCCGAAACATGGTGACGCTGCCTGAAAATGCGCAAAACATGTCCGACTTCTACCCTGTCAAGGACCTGATATGCATACTTTTGCATCTGCCGGCAAGAGACTCACTTACCGAAGTTAAGCATCTTGCTCTTGACATTGCAGAGCAGCTGACACCTTTCATGGCTCTGGAATCCGACGACCCTCTATACAAGACACTCTTAGCCCAGCTCTCTTCAGAAGATAGAGGAACTATCCTGACAGCACTTCGCGCGCTGGGTCGCATTTCTGTGAATCTGGAGGCGACAAACAAACTGGGCGAGGTGCCAAACACAACACTGCAGCGGATTGTGAACTGGCTGCTGCTAAACGATGACGAGCTCATTGATGCCTGCCTCGACTTTCTATACCAGTACACGGCCGTTGTTCCCAATCTCGACAACTTGGTGCGATCTATCGTCCCGGACAATCTGGTTCAGCAGCTTGTCCGTCTATTAGCACACGGGGCTCGCAAATATACCAGAGAGTATACAGTTATCCCAGAACAGAGGTTGCCGGCAAAGGACGAAATTGCGCCAATGCCCAATGACCTACTTCAGGAAATGTTGAAGCTGGAGGAGCCGGACCGGGTCCACCAATGGGTCAGGTGCTTCTTCGAGGAAGACAACCGATCCTTTATTACCCAGCTTGCCGCGTGGCAGGCTTACCAGTCGGCATTTGCCACCCCTCTGAAGGCTATCAATCAACCCATGATCACCCCGGCGGACTTCATTAGAAGCAGCACGTCTGTTTATAAGGATTCCAACGCCCAGGTGCTCAGGGAACCTGGTGATCCTCAGCAAAAGTTCATTATCCATGGCATTCGAGCGCGGCCGCGGCCCCTCGCATTTGACGGTACCGAATATGGCCGCTGCTTATGGGCTATGAACTCCGAAAACAAGAACGAAAAGTGCGGTCACTTTTATCTTAAGCAAGAGGAAATGTGGAATCACATCCTCACGGCACATCTGAATGAGCAGAGGGGCGAAAATGGACAGTTCTCTAATCTCGAGAAGGACTATCAATGCACCTGGGCCGAGTGCACAAAGTACGACAAGCCGACAAAGATGCATCTGCAGACTCTCGCCCAGCACATCTCTACGCACATTTCAACCATGATCCCGAGCCCCGGTTCGTTTAACAGGCGTCCGCGACACCCGTGGGTCATTCCGGCAAAGACGATGAGTATCGTGCTGGAAGAGACCCCGACGTTTCGTGATGAGCGGATGCCCGAGGCACCTCCCCAAGCTGGCGGCATCCCGCTTAGTGCCGTGTTGGTGCTCCGCAACATTGCTCGTAACGTGGTCAAGACAGAGGCTGAGGAGGAGCTTCTCAAGGAACAGTCTAGGACTTTTGAGAAGGGGGGATGGAATGAGAAGCTCTTCCGGCCTCACTTGACTCAGTTGCACGGCATCTTGGCGGAGAATCTTGCCATGGTAGGTTACTTCATGCCCCTCTTTATGGAAATTATGGTAGCTAATGGGTTTGTTACAGAGCCCATATATCGCGTCGCTATTGGAGCTGATAATCCCGGTGCCAGATGACCGCGATTAAGCGATCAATTGATTTACGTGCTAGCTACTCAGACGGAACCATCATCAGGACGAATAACCCAGATGGTTTGATTATGTGTACTATGCATCGTTGAGACGAGCGGAGCTATGAGCGCGAGCGAAGATTACGTGGCGGTGTGTTTAGGTTTCTTTTTATACTTGTTGTTTTGGTAATGAGGTTGGTGATGATTCGATTTGTCAACGGTACGATATGATACGAGGTTTAGCCCGTGTGGTTTTCATACCCCGGCGTTTTAGGTAATGAAGGATGGAAGAGTGAAGAACATTGATATTTTTTTTGGAGAGTGAGGGGGTTAGAGTTGGCTGTGCTTGCTTCTGGTTTGCTCCGTATTGGGCTTTTGGAGGATTGGTTTATAGCGAGCTCCTTTTTCAAGCCACTTTTTTGAAGGAATCATAATCAAAGCAGTACAAGCACAGTACATTGCAGCTCATCCAATTATGTGAATGCCGCAGCTCTTTTGCCAGAGCAATTGGCACTCAGCGTAGAAGGATCAAGTGCCGTTGGGATGAAGCTATTGGGAACCCAGAAGCGGCACGCAACGAGTGGACTGATTACCTTGATAGCCCAACAATGCACGAGCACGGAGTACATGATGCTACTGCATACATCTGCATCCATCAGGCAAGGTGCCCAACGCACCAGGACCTGACCAGGCGATAACATGCCGCAACCAATCCAAGGCACAAAAACAGCCTCTTGGGCGCTTAGCATGTGAAGGAGAGATTCCAAGACCTGACCTGTCAAGACGCGTGCCATTTGAGTTTTTCTCCAAGCAAACTCGGAGGATGCGCTCCGAACGGGGCCGCGATCTGCATGAAGCTTTTCTCGCCCTCCCGCATATCGCGACGAGGGGGGAGGGGGAAAGTCAAGCGCGAGAATGGTTGGGTCTCGATAGTGTTTTGATGCCGGAAAACCTAAAATCCAGGATTATACACGCCCATGAAGGCGATATCATTCAACGGGCTCAAAAGGTGACTGGTCATGCCACGCGACGCGCTGCAGACACAAGCAAAAGTGGTCGAGAATCCACGAGGCGTAGTCTAGACAACCTGATGATGGACTGACACGGCAGACAAAGGTGGTGTAAGGGGGCCACGCCACCGTTTCCGCTTGAGTGGTGCTTTCGCTCTTCCGAAGCAGATAGCGAAGGGGGGGGCTTTCCTCCAAAGAAGCTGATTCTTGCTTCGTATCGCCTCTGAGCTTTGAGCTTCTTCGGAAGCGTGGGGTAGCAGCGCGGCCGCGATGCAACTGCACTACTGTACTCGTACATCTCGCCCGATGTGGGGGAAGGCCGTTACTCGCCCAAAAGCCCCCCCCGTATCTGAGGGAAGAAGAAAAAAAAAAACTGAAAACCGACAATGCAGCGCCGTCGTGGGAGCTCCCCCTGTGGTGGTGGTGTGCTCGTGTGGATACAGAATGTCTGCAGAGGTGCCCATTCAATAGATCGCGCCTCGACTGCCGGCCGTGCAGCCATGGCCACACCATCTTGGTGTTGCTGAGGAGAAGAGGGTCTAGGCAGCTAAATAAAATTTTTCCTGTCATTCGCACCCAACCTTGCAATCTGCTTTGCTGCTAGCTAGCATCTGTGTTGGTGGTCTGAGCCTCATTATTGTCCCTGCTAGACCAACTCTTGGTTGATGCTGGATGAAAAAAACTCTTTGGGGGGAAACAAGAAGAAGCCTTTTGCCGAAAGCCGGAGATGAAAGGTCTCTTTAGCAAGGTCAGCAGGATGGTTTTCACCCAAAGCTGAAGACCGCGTTGGGTAGTTGGCTCAGGGGCTTATGCCAGCCACCAGCCGGCAACCATGTTCGGTTCAGTCGCCAACCATTGGGAAACGTGGGGAGCCCGCGTTGCCGGCCGCGGTGTCGTGCTCCGGCCCCCGGAACCTTACCCAGGTCCAATCTCGCAGTGGTCATGCGGACAAGTTGGTTTTTTTCCGCATCGGTTCGTGAAATCCGGGGTGTCGACTGCGTAGGAGCTTTGACCAGTTGTTGGAGAGAGGGTTGCCACGAAGCGACTCCTGTCGGATAGTTTCTGTGCTTGCCGGCGCAAGGAAGATTGATGCCGAATTCAGCACGAGGGCCGAGTAAGACGGTCCGGTCCCGATGTACGAGAGCCGAGCATGCTCAGGTTGTTGTCTGTTTCTCGATCCCGAATCAACGCTGAACCGAGACAGCAGGACAGCGCTCCATCGCACCGTTTGCGTCTGGGTGTACTGTGCTTGCAAACGATGTACTCTGAGCACACATACGGGTGCATTCTCAGGCACTTCGAAAAAGGGGGGAGCCTAAGGGTGTGTGCATCTGTTCCGCGCTCCTGGGAGACCCCAGAAAAACGCTAACAAGGGGTAGCTACCCCGGCGAGTCTGGCAAGACCTCCCTCGCCAGGGCGGCGGCAAACAACCTTATTGATGAGTGAGGAAGCACTCTTGCCTGAGTCCCGTTGCGGGAGAACGGTAGAGACACACGCGGCACTAAAGCCAAGCGGTCGAATGGCCATTTCCATAGCGCGAAGCGTGACAATTTGGCCATCCTCAAGCATCCGGAGAAGCTGGCATATACTTTGCCGTACGAGGTACGAGTAGCTACAGAGTACAAGTACTCGTAGGCAAGCAGGGTCAGGGAATATCTCTCCTGGCCGTGCTTGCTTACGACCTCGATCTCGTGACCTTGAGGTACGACGTTGATGCTGATGCGGTTACGAGCATGTCCATTCCTGCGAAGATGATGTGGTGGGGTGACGACGCAATGGCTCAGGGGTGATCATCCTCCTCATGGGGAAGAGCGAAAGAGCTTCATGCGCTGAGCTGCCAGCTTGGCCGAATCAAATGACTAGACACGGAGACGCTTGGCCGAAATCGCTGTTTTGGAAACAACTTGGGCATGCATACCAAGTCCAAGTACCCGTTGGCCGCAAGCAGGTCGAAACGTTCGGCACACCGCATTTCTCGTGTCCCCCCCATCCGTCCATCCTCACTGCTCTCTTGTGTTGCTTTCCTTCTCTGCCGTGTACGTGTAGTCCAAGGCACGCCGTGCCCCAGAAGGCTTACGGCAAGCCTTCTCCAGAGCCCCATTTGATCTCTAGGCAGACACATTTCGAAGCTCCATACAAGCTCCACGAGGCTGGAGCCCGGAGCACCGCAGTTTCTAAGCGCGGGTACCTTTTTTTGCCCTTGAACCCTTCTTCACTGCGAAGTTACGGGCTCCGCTTCTGGCAGCGTCCGGGACCCATCGCCTGATCGACAACCATGTTTGTCTGTCACCTCTTCCCCCCTTCCCAGTTGTTTAGTGGACCAGTGGCCCCTCTCCAATCCCCACAGCGCATTGTTAGCTTCTGCTAGGGGGCGTCTTGATGTTGGTGTGCCGTGCTTCCAGAAGCCGATGCAGAAGCTCCAGCGATACCAAGGTGGCGTGCAGAGCGCGTGGGGGGAGGCTGGATACCGAACATGACAAGGGCAGCCACTTTTGTAATTGAATTCTGTGAAGCAAAAGCGACAAGGTGTGGCTTCGAGGGATCTGAGTTTTCACCTCGTGGCCTGGGACACCTTCAGAAGACGCCCGGCGCCTACGGGATCCTCTCAAGGCCCGCTGACGCCACAGAGCCGTGATGGCCGCGAGGAAGACGAGGGACTTTGCCTTGTAAACCTGCGTCATTGAGGCCTTTGCCTGACTCGTCGAGATCTATCTTGACAAGGACATGGAGGTCGATACAGAGCTGCTTAGGCCTCAAAGAAATTGACTGAGAGGAGCACCTATTGCTGACAAGATGGATTCAGGGTGATTCAACGTCATAGGCAGGTCGTCATAGCCGAGGCGAAGCTGTCTCATGGATCAGAGGTTTGCGAGATACGTAAGCCATAGGACCTGAGGATTTGAAAGGAGCCGTCTGTAGAAGTTTCTGGGTAACAAGACGCTCGATGGGGAAACTTCCGGGTCCGTGTGAGCAGCAATCCTTTGGACGAGAGAGGCTCAGCTAGCATAAGCAGGCTTGACGGGAGCCTCCAACGGTCTGGTTGTCTTGGCTATAGACTCTTGACGCGTCTGAGGCTGCTGCACTGGTGTTGAGCATCATGCACCTGCACAGTACTGTATGACAGCTCCTTGCATAGCAACGCCCTACGTTCGCATCGCACAAGCACGACCACCTCGTCTCCCGCATTCTCGATTCACCTCAAAATAGCCACGATGCTTCAGCGGGACCAGAAAATTGCGCCAAGACGCTTCCGGGCAGCGCCACATCTATTGTTGCACCCAGGAACGACGATGTCCTTTTTTGGGTGGGAACCCCCACGGGACAGAATGTCGATGCCTGGGGAGTCCATCGAGGTCTAGACAGGTGAAGAGGACACATTGGACGCTGAAGAGGGACCGGATTCAAAAACACTGACACAGAGTTTGTGGCTCTGGTATTTTGTTGGGGTAGGTCAGTTGAGAATGAGGGTTGAAAGCAACAAGTGCAGCCAAGCACCCGTCCCCATTGGATGTCTCGGTTCGGTTGGACAGTGTAGCATGATCCCCGCCATGGCGGCGACATCGGATAAGATGAAGCGAGCTCAGCTTGTTCCTTTGTTGTTGAACCACAGCACGCAGCATACTCGTAACGCACGTGTATTACTTTGCAAAACACTCTGAAACACCAATCGAGTTTGAGGATATTCTCAGCAACAAGATTCACTTGATGCGTCTGTGGCCATAGATTACCGAGGCCGTGGAATGATTGAAGCCGGATTATCGGGAGCTTGGGTGTGCAGTGCGAGATGGCTTTCGCACACCCTCTTTTTTTGCAAGCGGCGGTTTTATTTTGGCTTGTCCGGATCCAAGACAGCTTGATCGTTGTCTTACAGTGTCTCTTCCGCGCTCGGGATGAGACAACACTGTGCTAAACGTTTCTTCTTTTGGAGACAGCTTCGATGTCTGCTTGCAGATTTGCAACAACTTCACGGCGGCAAAGTGCGACCCCAGCTTTTGCCTCTCTGCATC